TTTCAGGGTAGTTTACAACATAAAAAAATCATATCAATGTAAATGGGACAAAGAACTGAGAGAGAACATTCCAGAAGCGGGAGGGAAATGGAAACAGCAACATGTCCCACTGGAGACTTGGCTCACAAATTTAAAATAATTTCTTTTTATTTGTTTTTTAAAAAAACACAATTTAGTCATATGGCAGAATGGTAGAATTAACATGTGATGGAGCTGTAAAGCATCCAGTGCTTACACGCTTCAAAATTATTGATTATGCCTCAAAACAATTATATTTTGGAAAACTAAACATGAACTTACAACGGGCTACGAGTTCCTGGCACAACCACTTATAATTTTATCTGGATATGTTAAGGTTTAGTTTCACCAGCAGATATGGAATCGATAATACTCCCATTAAAAGCTGCTTGTGTAGCAATGAACTATATTTGGGGGGAAATGTTTATCCCTACCTTGGAAGACTGGATAATAAGAGTGTGGGAGCTGGCTCATATGGTAAAATGGATTAATGCTTTAAGATTAAGAGAAGGTAGATGACCTGATTGTTCATTGAAAACTATACTGGTGTAATAAGACACAAGAATATACCGGTGACCACATATACTGCTGGATACAATCTAAGGAAGTTTTAAAGATGTTTAAAGATGTTTCTGTTGTTCTATCACTTGTTTGCTGCTATAGGTTCCTTTGGGAGGAAGGGTGGGATATAGACAGACAGACAGACAGACAGACAGACAGACAGATAGATATAATTTATCATACTTATTTTTTAAAATAAATATCTATTCAAAGAAGAAAGAAAATTCTAATTCATGTCCTAAACCTAAAAACCTCACTGCAAATATGAACCTTGAAGCTAACTGTTGTTCTTTCATTTGCACCAAGTTAACGTTATGCCTCTCTTTACTACAGATGAAATATGTTCAAAAGTCTGTTGTCCTTCTTCCTAAAAGTCCCCTCTCCAGACTACCTCTGGGTACTACTAAACCTTCCAGATGGTTATGTAATAAAAGCCCAGATCAAAAAAAATAAATACAATGAATACAATACACCATCTAGAGGTGGACAGAGAATTTGCAGGCAATTAAAAATAATAACCACAATGGGGGGGAACTGTGGCAGATACACACACCCCAAAGCAAGAACTGGAAGCTAGAGGGAAATCTTACACAGAAAGTAAGAACAAGTGTTTCTTGAAAGAGCAACCTATAAAGGAATACAGCTATTAACTGGATCTCTTTGCTCCTATTTTTCTGAGGTTGATGAATGGTGTACCCACAAAGGGGATAAGATTCCCAATATTGCTTTAGCCAAAGCTATATCTAGGTTTGACAGTCAATCAGCACCTCAGGGGCTCAGTCCTATGCCATTCTGCATTTCTGGTAAGCATTTCTGGTCTGATGTCCTCTTATTACACATCTCAGGTGCTTTCTCCTGCAGAGGTCAAGGCTCTTTCATCTCACTCAGTTTCAGCAGAGACACAGACCACTGGGAAGTCCTTAGCTGCACAAGTTTTCCATGCACAGCTGGTCATGTTTAAAGCCACTTCCTGTGTATAATACCAGGTAATAATACCAGGTATGGGGAACCAATGGCCCTCCAGATGTTGCTGAAATACAACTACTATCGGCCCCAGCCAGCATGGCCAGGGTTGATGGAAGCCGTGGTCCAATGATATCTGACATCTAGAGGACCAAGGCTCCCCCACACCAGGTGTACAGCCTTTCACATAAAATATGTGCCACAGCCGCTCATGAAGCAAAGAGCCATAAGCCATGCTGGTTGCACTGTAAGTAGTATAACCAGCTTTAGACATGCTTCCACGCATGTGGGAGCCTGGAGGGAGAAACTGCAATTCATATATCCTCTCCTAACTATTAAAACCCAAGGGGACACAGGTGGCACTGTGGGTTAAACCACAGAGCCTAAGACAAGGTCGGCGGTTCGAATCCCCGCGACGGGGTGAGCTCCCATTGCTCGGTCCCAGCTCCTGCCAACCTAGCAGTTCGAAAGCACATCAAAGTGCAAGTAGATAAATAGGTATACCGCTCCGGTGGGAAGGTAAACGGCATGTCCATGCGCTGCTCTGGTTCGCCAGAAGCAGCTTAGTCATGCTGGCCACATGACCCGGAAGCTGTACGCTGGCTCCCTCGGCCAATAAAGCGAGATGAGCGCCGCAACCCCAGAGTCGGCCATACTAATGGTCAGGGATCCCTTTACCTTTAACTATTAAAACCCACCCAACACCTTCATTAAGCAACTTTTGGTGAATGGGGGGGGGGGCATCCTATTCCTGTGAATGGAACCTGCAGGGGGTATAGGGTGGGTAACAATTTTAACGATAACGAATAACAATAACCCAAACACTGGTCCAGGACCTGCATGATCACCCCCAATTCAGATGTTACAGAGGAACTGTTGGGCATCTGTTCCGCAGGTGGTTTTAACAAGGGCACATATTTTTACAGGTCCGAAGGCAATAAGCACATTTATGGGTGAGGATTACCAATTTATTAATGCACAGCAACCGTAAACATAACAAGGCACATATACGTCTAATCGAACAGACACATAAAGCTTATTACGACATAACTAAGGAAATATAAAAAAATCCAACTAGCAAAGCTAACACCCCTTCTGTTCTTGCCAGGGAAACCTAAATGAATGGCGGTGGGTGGATCCTGGGGCTGGATGAGGGGCAGCACCATTCCAGGTTGGTCTCATGCCGGGTTCCCAACAGTGGTGCCTTCAGATATATCCTGTTGCCTTATACTGGGGGGAGGGGGCTGGCCAGGGGAATACTCATCCCCTCCCCTGGGTTGGCCCTATGTCAGGCATAGCCAAACTCCGGCCCTCCAGATGTTTGGGACTACAATTCCCATCATCCCTGACCACTTGTCCTGTTAGCTAGGGATGATGGGAACTGTAGTCCCAAACATCTGGAGGGCCGGAGTTTGCCTATGCATGCCCTATTGTCATGGACTGGCTGGATGCAGAGGAATGGTAGGAGGAACCAGCTTGGGGACCATCAAGGGAGGAAGACTCAGAGCCCGGGGAGTGGTGGTGGGATGAAGACGAGTGGTCAGAAGGAGAAGACCAGGAAGAGGTGGTATCAGAAGATGTAGAGGTAACAAGGCTTCGTGAGCTGGGAGAATCTGTGGCAGAGAGAAGTCAAGAATCAGAAGCTGAAACTGGTGAGTGGGAGGTTCAAGAGGCAGAGACGAGTCAGGCTAGTGAAGAGGCACAGGTGCCCCCCCTCCTGCTGCAACAAGCTCCCCTCTTGTCTCCCAGAACCAGGAGTGGCATGAAAAGGGCAGAGCAGAGCTTGGCTGAACACAGGTGCAGTCTCTGATTGCTTGGGGAAAGCCCTGGAGAGGAGCAGATATAGGCAGTTGTGGGGAGCGAGGACCTTTAGTCACTGCAACTGATCTCCTGGAGAAAGACTCACAGGGTGTGCTCATTAGGCCTGGTGTGCTCATGAAATCATAGAACTGTAGGGTTGAAAGGATTCTAAGGGCTATCCAGTCCAATTCTCTGCAACGCAGGAATCCTATCTAAATTTGACACGATAGTATTATCATGGCATCTAGCTTGAGGATACCTTGCTCCAAATCTCCAGAGACAAAAAATAGGTGGGGCCAGAGATGAAAGTGGGCAAAGCAACCAATGTGATTCTTGCCTTTATACCACACGTGGGGAACTTCAGGCCCACAGGCCTAATCAGGCCGGACATGGGTTCCAATTTGGCCTGCAAAGCGATTACCCCAAAACCACAACCACATCATGTGTGCCATCAGGCAATGGGCAAGCAGAGACACAAAAGAGGTTTGTTGCCTGTCCTGATCAACTAACTGGGGTAAAAGCAGGCCAGGTGAAGTCTCGTTTGGCACTAAAAGCAGGCCATAACTCTTCAGGAAGGAGGGCTGATAGTGGTAAATCCATTTTAATTTCCTAGAAAGGAAATGCTCAGGTGAGGATTGGTGAGATATCCAGCTCCCTTCCTGTGCAAATGATCCCAAGCACTTGAAATTAGTATCTATCAGCTTCAGGCTTTGTTTTCTATGGCTAGTTAAGGCATTTCCCATGGGAGCTCACAGCAGAAAGTGGAGCTTGAAGCCAACGGCCTGTCAGTAGACTATCAGTGTGCCTATCATCTTGCACCCCAGAAAACAAGAGACAACATCCCAGTTTGAAGGACACATTTCAGTATGGTTGCCACCATTGTTCTGGCAAAATACAGGACAGGCCATTGGCAGCCATTTTTTCCCATCTGGTGCTGAAGTGACTTCAAGGCCCTTCCATTACAATCTATTGTAGCCTAACAGGATGGCCTCTCTGGAATTTGTCACACGCACACACATACACATGAATCTGTAAATCTGTCTGTGTTTGGCTACCCAGAACTTAAAATACATGACATTTCATACACCCTGTCAAACACACGCATGTGGAGAGGTTCTCTAACTTGGCAAACACACACACACACAGAGAGAGAGAGACCTGAAATACAAGACAAAACTGTATCAATACAGAATGTAGAATTCTACATTGAAATATGGGGAAATCCTGTATTATACAGGACAGATGGACAGATACAGGACAGATGGCAACCCTACTTCACATATCCTCCAACATTTCTCTCATGAAAGTCATTTAAAAAGAATTTATACCCTGCCCACCTGACTGGGTTGCCCCAGTCGCTCTGGGTGGCTCTCAGCATATATATAAAAACATAATTAAACATTTTTAAAAACTTCCCAATACAGGGCTGCCTTCAGATGTCTTCTAAAGTTTGTATAGTTATTTATTTCCTTGGCTCAGGGGTCCCAAAAATCCATACCCTCCAACATTTCTCTGATGAAAATTGTTGTTGTTGTTTAGTTTAGTCGTGTCCGACTCTTCGTGACCCTATGGACCAGAGCACGCCATGAAAATAAGGACGTCCAATGGAAAAACAGGACATTCTGGGATCAAATCAGAAACCAGGGCGGCTTCTGTAAATCCAGGACTGTACCTGGAAAATAGGGACACTTGGGAGAATCTGACTTCAGCCAGGCGAAAACTGGTTGGTATTTGGGGCCTAAGTCATTTAGGCCTAAGTTTAAGCGCTCATGTGAGCACCTCAAAATGGCCTCCCCAACCAAAAGGCTGTTCCAGAACACAAATGTTTTCTAAAGCCTACTCCAGTCAGTGGTCTACCTTGTCGCTGCGTTTTGGACAATCTGAAGTTTCCACAAGCTTCTAGGGAGCACAAAGCAGAGTGAGGTTGTCTGTTCTACTCCGGATGAAGCAGGACTGGAAGGGAATGCGACCAGCAGGCGCCGCTCTTCGGCCACCTCCGGCTGCCGGCTCTCCCCACCCTCCTGCCCAGCCTGCCTTCCCTGTCCCGGGCCAAAACCGCAACGCAGCTGTCGGCGCGCAAAGAGCCAGCGCGCCTTGGAGAGGAGCAGGAGCGCGCCGGAGCAAGGCGGGAGCCGTCCGTGGACCCGAGGCTGATTTGCAAGAGGTGGCGACCATGCAGCGGGCGGACTGGGACGAGCAGAGCGAGCTGCGGGAGCTCAACTCCCGCCTGTGGCTCTACGTGTCGCGGGTGCGGGAGCTGGAGGAAGAGAACCGGCGCCTGGCGCAGGAGCTGGGCGCGCTCCGCGGGCGGGAGAGGCAGGTTTGCCGCCTGCAGGAGCACGAGGAAGAGGTGGCCGAGCTGCGCCTGCTGGTGAGCGAGCTGAGCCGGGCCAAAGGAGAAGCCGAGCTGGATCGCGACGCCCTGCGCCAAGAGTTGGCCAGCTTGGAGAGGTTGGGCGCGCAGTCGGTGGAGCTGCGACGGCGCCGCTTGGAGCCCGAGCTGGCCGAGCTGCGGCAGCAACTGGAGCTCTTGCGGGCCGACTGCGCCGCCCTGGAGGCGCTGCTGGAGCGCCTGCGGGCCGAGCACCGGAGACTGCAGGAGGAGCGGCGGCGGCGTCCCCAGCGCCTGCCGGCCCTGCTGCCTCCTCCGCCGCCGGCCAGGACTTCGACGCGCGCCGTCAGCCGACGGGAGCTGGAGGACAGTTACGCGTTGGTGCTTAGCTGGAGCTGCGAGCAGAGCCTGGAGCGCTACGAGGCCGAGCTGCAGGCGCTGCAAGAGCTGGAAGGGCGCCTTGGCAGGGAGAACCTGCAGAAGCTGCGAGCCCACAACGAGCAGAGCCGACGGCAGCTCGACGAGCTTCATCGCCGCTGCCAGGAGCTGGGCGCGCTGGCGGAGCGCTTGGAACAGGAGCGGCTGGCGCAGCAAGAGCGCCAGGGCGCCGAGTTGGCCGAGTATCAGGTAGGGCAGCGGGAGCTGGACGGTGAGCGGGAGGGCAGAGGCGCCGCAGAACCTCCTTGGACCATGGCAGTCTACCTCTGAGTGCCAAACTGCTGGGCACTAAAACCTAGAAGCATCACTTTAAGGCACAGTATGCCTTATGTCAACCGCTTACTCTGTTCTTGTCAGTTAAGTGGTAAATAATTTTTCTTAAATACATAAAATGAAAAGAAATGCTGGCTGAGTATTGGCTTGATACAGCAGGGTTCTGCTTGCATACAGCAGGGTTCTGCTTGCATTAAGGGCTGACTATTTACTGCTTTGAATCTGCCCTGGTTAGGTTGCCAACTCACCACCCCCTGGCAGAGCTCCTGCACCTTTATTTGACGAGAGGCATTTATGCTGTGAGTTCAGCTTTCACCTAGTGCATGGGATGGTTGGAAGCATTTCACATACTTTATTGCTCTAGTCGAGAGAGAGAGAGAGCGCCCATCGTTTTCTAAAGACTTCTAGTGAATTAATGGCAAAGGCTGTCTTAGGTCATAGGTGGGCAGCTTGCAGCCCCTAGCCTCAGGAGACCCCCCTCATGCCTCCTCAACCTGCTCCTTTCTTTTATCCTTTTTCCTGTTTGTTTTCTCTGCTTTTATATATAAAAAGTTGTTTTTCCTTTATGTAGTGTCTGGGGGAAAATTAATTGATTTTTATTTATTTTACTTTACCTGGGTTCGTGACTTGCCTTCCAGCTGTTGGTGAACAAATTATGCCATGTTTGTATAGCACACTTGAATGAGAAAATGAAGTACTAGCACTTACTTTCCGGAACAGTTGCTGTGATTCAACAGTAGCTGTGTTGTACTAAAAAAAAGGGGGAAAAACTAAGCAAAAAAAATATCTGTATAATTTTTTGAGAATAGCTTCATCAAAACCAGTGGGGTAAACCAGCATAGGATTAGGAATTATATTCTTGAGACAGACATGGTAAAAACTGAGTCAGGGTGGTCTTTATTCCTGTCTAGTTAATCCAGAACGATTCTCTAATTTCCACACCCCCTCATTTTTTGATTCCACTAACCACTGGCATGTGCCCCTCGCCCCAAGCGAATTACTCCCCAAGGAGTGTGGCCACCGATGGAAACCTCAACTAAAACCTGTCAGGGTCTTATCTTTTGTCCCCCTAACTAGCGCTGATGTGTGTGGCTCTCCCCGCCTTCCCCCGGCACAAGAGTGCTGTGATGGGAGCAAACCGCACCAGCTGCATCTCCTGCTTCTCACACAGCTGTTGCCGAGGGGCAAAAGAAATGCTCTTGCCAAGCTCAGAGACATGCTCTTCTGCATTCATCAAGAATAAAACCCATTTGGCTTATTGTTTGTGCAGGAGCTGCAGTCTCCAAACTTGACAGTAGCTCATCCATCAATAGTCTGTAAAGGCTGGACCCGTAGGCAGGCTTGCGTAGGAGTAAGCCCCGCCGAACACCCTGGGACGTAACTAGGAGTAAATATGCACTTCAAATCTCCCTGGGCAACTGTTTTATTAAATGTTTAGTTCAAGCATGAGGATTTTGTTTAGCACAGCTTATTAAACTCACCTCTAGCCATTTTTTTTTTACCTAATTATAATTTATTTATTATTATTACTTGTTGCATTTATATCCCACCTTTTCCTTCAAGGAGCTCAAGGTGGAATATATGGTTTCCCCCTCCTCATTTAATACCCACAACAACCCTGTGAGGTAGGAAAGGCTAAGAGGCAGTGACTGGCAAAGTTCACCCAGAGCTTCATGGCTGAGTGGGGATTTGAACCCTGGATTCCCAGGTCCTAGTCTGACACTCTAACCACTACTCCACTCTGTCTCTCTCTATAATTACCGGGTTCTGTGGTGCTATTGTCTTCTTGCCTGGGGGCGTCCCTGTGGTCTCCTTTAGCTTTAGCGATGCCACAGTTTCAGATGCTCCCATAGGAGTCTGGGAAGATGGAGGCAAACACAGTTGATATTTCTAGGAAGACATAAAAAAGAAAAAAACTCTCCTGAGCCATCTTAAAAAATATGACACTTGCAACTTGCCTTCTGGATTTCCTTAGCCCTTGCCACTCTGTGGGTGGTTGCACCTGTCACCCTCTCCTTGCTACAAACTTGGGCGCCCACTTTCAAGGAGTGGTGATGGGATCAAGTTTAGCTAGGGAACATTGCCTCGTTATGGACTCTCCTTCCTTGGAGGTTTTTATGCAGAGGTTGGATGGCAACCTGCCATGGATGCTTTAGTAGAAATTCCTGCATTGCAGGGGGTTGGACTAGATGACCCTCGGGATCCCTTCCAACTCTGAGATTCTCCGATCCCACTTTTCCCAGTGGTAAAACAAAAGCAAAAGGATTCAGTTCCTATTTGGCTTCCAGAGTCCCCAGTACAGGACACAGTGTTCCCTCTGGAGGGGCTGAGTCGCACCCCTTTTCACACCTCACATGACTAAAGGTGCTTAGAATAGCACGGCTGGGTACTAAGTTTCATTTACCAGCAGGCTGCGATTTTGGCAACAATGAAAATATGGGGAGTGGCAGGACAAAATGGCTGCCTGGTGGGTTTTTTGTGGGGGGTGGGCGAAGGTGTCAGTTGTTTGTGACATGGAGAGTCAGAGTGGCTGGGGCAACCCAGTCAGAGGGGTAGGGTACAAATAATAACATTATTATAATTATTATAGTGGAGCTTGGTGCATGTCTGTAGCAGCAGAGTGCAGAAACAGTCTGAGGTAGTGGCTGGTTGAAATACTAGAGAAACTTTATTCTGAACTGGCAGTAACTGACCAGGCATGAAAATCAGAGTTGAAAGTGATAACCCAATGAAGTTGTTGACCCAGTGTGCTACAGCTGTGAAAAATTCATGCTAGGGATTGTTAGGAAAGGAATTGAAAATAAAACGGCTGATACCATAATGCCATTATACAAATCACTGGTGCCACCGCATTTGGAATAATGTTTGCTGGTCTGGTCCCCTCATCTCAAAAAAGATATTGTAGAGTTGGAAAAGGATCAGAAAGGGATAACCGAAATGATCAACAGGATGACGCTCCTCCATTATGAGGAAAGGTTGCAGCATTTGGGACTTTCTAGTTTAGAGAAAAGGGAAGTAAGAGGTGTCGTGATAGAAGTTTATGAAATTACGCCTGAAGCAGAGTGAGTGGAGAGATAGAGGTTTCTCGTGTAACACTAGAACTTGTGGAGATCTAGTGAGGTTGAATGTTGTAGGAGTTAGGACAGATAAAAGAAAGTACAGTGGTACCTTGGTTGTCGAACTTAATCCATTCTGGGAGTCCTTTCAACTCCCAGAATGGTTCGAAAACGAAGGTGCGGCTTCCAATTGGCTACAGGAGCTTCCTGCACTCAATCGGAAGCCATGGAAGCTGCAACGGATGTTTGGCTTCCCAAAAACATTCACAAACCGGAACACTCACTTCTGGGTTTGCAGCGTTCAGGAGCCAAAATGTCCGATTACCAAGGCGTTCGACAACCAAGGTATGACTGTACTTAGTTGTGCAGTACACAGTTAAACTATGGAACTTGCTCCCACAAGAGGCTGTTGAATGGCTTTAAGAGAGAACTGGACAAATTCATGGCCGTTGTTGGCTACTGGCCAGGAGGGCTGTGCTCTACCTCCACAGTCAGAAGCAGTGATGCTTTTGAATACCTGTTGGTTGAAACCGCAGGAGGGAAAAGGGCCCTTGTGCTTGAGTCCTGCTTGCAGGTTTCCCACAGGCACCTGGAATCAACGTGCCATTGGCCTGATCCTTCAGGCTCTTCTTAGGTTCTTTACATTACTCCTGGCAAACAAAGCCATTCTGAGTACAAGTTTATGTGTGGCCATCTTGGAGTCAGGAGGTTAACTCTGAATGTCCAACGCTAACACTAGCCAAAGCAGCAGCAGCAGCAGTGAGATGGGTGTTATGACACCACCACTGTATGGAAATGTAGGGCAGCTGGGTGTGGTGATAATGCTTGTGTGATGTCTCTCTACAAAGCCACAGTTGCAGCCACCTTGTGGGGAGCTTAATAGCTATGGTGGTTGTTTGCTGCTGCACCTCGAGTTCATACCTGCACTTCTCTTGATTTCTTTACATGCGATGTAGAGAATGTGCAAACTGCTGAATGTGACCTGACACCCATTTAAATGTATTGCACTTTAGGTGGCTTGAAAGTCTTTGAGACAATGGCATGATAAAATTCAAATCTCAGATCTTTGGTTCAGGCCAAATATGAATTTATTTGGAAAGGCATGTAATTTCCCCTTGTTGTCTTTATTCCTCCCTGGTCTCCCCCTCATCCAGCTGTACTGTAAACTCTTCTGTTTACACTGTTCCTGTGTGGTGATTTTGTTTACCCCTTGACCTGGCAATTTCCTTCATCCCCCTCTTTCAGTGCTGTTTTTCTGATTTTGATGATACCACTTGATATTGTCCTTTGCATCCTTTAACGTGTATGTAATTCAATAAAAGTCAAATAATAATTTCCAAAGGCGTGAAAAGAGCCATGTTGAATTCGAGCAAATGCCTACTTAGTCCGCCATCTTTTTTTCTGCAGTGACCAACCATTTTCCTCTAGAAAGTTACCAGGGAGGGACTGCTGCTTCCCAGTAGCTGGCATTCAAAGGCAGAGTGCATCTGATATCAGAGGCAGCACGTAGCTTTTATCCTCCATGGATTCGTCTCACTGCGCTTTTAAAGATATCTGAATTGGCGGCCATCTTGTGATAGCAAATTTCAGTTGAACCATGTGCTTCATGAAGGAATGCTTCATGGGCAGGCGGGACTTTTCCAGGGGCGCTGATCCAACAGGCTCTTCTTAGGTCCTTAAGCAGTCTTTGTTCTGGTGCCACTTCTCAGTAACCCACTTTGTCGAGGGTGGAAAAAAGTCTTGAAATAAGTGGGTTTTTGTTTTGTTTTGGTAGAGTTAGAACAGTTAATGTAGCCATAGTAGACTGTGAAAGTTAACGAAAGTCATTCATCCAGCCCGCATATCTTTTCCTCTGTTTCCTGTCGGTAACCATTTCTTTTGTTCCCGAACAGCCGTTTTATTTGCACGCTGGTAGATTTCTGTTGTCTGTGCTTATCTCATTAACAGCTGCATTGTGAGCAGGGCCATTGGAGATTATGGGGATATTGTATATTGTGAAGGGGCAGGATTTTGTGTGCCTGGGTTTTCAAAATCCCACTTGTGTGTGCCATCTGCTGAGGTTGCAAATTGTTACACAACCAAACTTTCAGTATGTAAAACGCGACAGTAGCTCAGTGGTTAAGCATAATGGTTAACCATGGTTAACACCAGGGGTAGCCAACGTGGTGCTTTCTATGGGTTGTTAGGCTCCAGCTCCCATCATCCTTGGCCATTGGCCATGCTAGGTAGGGCTGATGGGAGCTGGAATCCAAAACAGCTAGAGAGCACCATGTTGACTATTCCTGATTAACGCTCAGGCCTGGTTTCAATGTCACAATAAACCATAGTTAATACAAACCATGGCTTAATTTAAGTGTGTAGTGTGCCAGTGCATATTGATCAAGTTGCAGGTGCTTCATTCCTCTCTTGCTCCTGCTGCTGCAAGGAAAGAAGGCATGGTCTGGCTAATCTGAACCCAAGCTCATGGTTTGCTTCTTGCTAAACAAACCATGAGCAGGAACGAAAGTTTATTCTCTGATACTGATTGTGGTTTGTTGGGGGGAAGCTTCCCCCAAAGTCCTGGCTTTCCCCAAATAGTCCTGGGATCTATACAGTGGTACCTCGGGTTAAGTACTTAATTCGTTCCGGAGGTCCGTACTTAACCTGAAACTGTTCTTAACCTGAAGCACCACTTTAGCTAATGGGGCCTCCTGCTGCTTCCGTGCCACCGGAGCACGATTTCTGTTCTCATCCTGAAGCAAAGTTCTTAACCTGAAGCACTATTTCTGGGTTAGCAGAGTCTGTAACCTATGTATGTAACCCGAGGTACCACTGTAGTTTGTTAAGGATGCTATTAGGGGTCTCCTAACAGTTCTCAGAACTCTTAACAAACTACAGTACCCAGGATTCTTTGGGGGAACCATGGCTATTTAAAGTGGTATGATCCTGCATTGAACGTGTAGGGGCCACTGTTGTTTATTTTGCCTGGCATCTGCTCTCATCAGCTGGGGTTCTTTCCAGAACCCGCTGTTTAAGACACTTTACCTGGAGGTGCCAGGGATTGAACCTGAGCTTTACCACTGAGCCATGAGCACCTTTCAACCTAATGGAACTTGCAGGGTTATCTTTCAGACAAATGGGAAACTGCCTGCTCAAAAATAACCTAGGAACTATTTATATTAACACTGTTACATGCTTCCCCCCACCCAGTATTCCCTGTACAGAGTGACATTCCAGGGACAGGACAGCCTGGCATTTAGTTTCCTTTAGATGAGCAATCACAGAGAACCGCCTAGAGAAAGGTCCTGCACTCTCAAAAGGCACCAACGCACAGCCCTCTCTCACACCTTCCACTTCTAACTTTCTCTTCCAAACTTCCAATCTAAAACACAAAATGTTGTATCTTTAATTTTGCACTGTTTTCTACCCTGGAGTCAACTGGGCAATTACTACGTTAGGCCTGGTTCCCAGATCTGTTCAGTAGTGTTTCAAAGGAGATGGGTACTGCATCTTGTAAAATTAGCATTTTAACACAGATCTATCACAATGAATTAGTGCATTAATTCCCATCTAGCCAAGCAGCAGGAGACAAGTGTTTCCCCTTCACTAAGCTGTGTGTGTGTGTTACTTCTGAGTGACTATAGAATTAATTAAGTAAACTGACTGGGGGATCCAATCCAAAGCCTTTTGAATCAACTCCTTCTTCAGGAGCAGTACTTGAATAACGCTTCTCAGGTCAATCTGAGCAGTTTGCAAATTCGGTTGAGAACTGTTTTTCAAATAGCTGCAGAAGGATTTATTCCAAAATGTGTTGAACCTAACCATCTTTTTTACCTGTGCACCTAAAGCTCTTCTCCCTTTTTCTTCCTGTCGCTGCTTTCCCATTTGTTTTCCCAATTTTGTATGCCAGCCAAACCATAGTTGGCATAAGCCATGGCTTGCAAAGCTACTATTTTTCCTCTTGCTTTGCAGGATAGGCTGCCAATCTGCTAGCAGGCTAAGTCAATCCTAACACAGAAGTCCCTATACTGCTCTAGATCAGGTTACCTGAGAAACTGCCTTACTCCTTATATTTTCCCAGTAGACCACTGTGGTCTGTGGGAGAGCTGCACCTGCAAGATCTCAGAAGCCTACTCAGCAGTAGCCACAATTCTATGATTCTATGACAGGTTGTCAGGTCATGTGATGGAACTCAGAGCAGGGCTTTTACTGTGGCTGCCCCTGTTCCTGTCAGTATACAACAGGTGCCTCCTTGCTACACCTTCTAGAAACAACTGGAGACCATAGGCTTTCCCAGCTGGATTAATAATAATAATAATAATAATAATAATAATAATTTTTATTTATACCCCGCCCTCCCCAGCCAAGACTGGGCTCAGGGCGACTGTGCGTGAGTAGGTGAGGTATTGGGAGCTCAGAGCCGCAGTGTATGAACGCGCCGCCATCTTGGAACGGAACCAAATGGCTCCTTACCACAATTGTCCACTTGTTAGGCTTGTCTTATTTTCAAAGTATTTGTTGTTTTTGTGTTTTTTAACTGCCTCCTATGTAAATTGCCTTGAGAATGTGATTTAGAAGGCAATTAATAAATAAATGATGATAATATTATAATAATAGAAGCATAGTGGAGTTTGTATAAGGAATCCATTGCAATAGTGCCCAGAAACATTATTAAAAGTAAAAGATAGAGAAGATCCAGAAATAGTCACAGCAGTATGTCCTAAATGTTGTGATGACAAATGACCCAACTTCACTCAACGTTGCCTCCAGAAAACAAGTGTTTCTGTGCTGGTGGAACTCTTTGGGGGAGATTTCAAGGGGGAAATCACCTTCCCTGGAGCTCTTAACTAAGACAAAATCCCCATCCATCTTTTCCTATTAGTTTTTTAGTCTCTGAAATTGCGCCATTGCCAGGGTTTTAGTTAGCTGACCCGTGAGCTCACTGAAGTTAACAATTTATATCCATGTTTCGCTTTAGGTGATCATTGAAGCCTTGGAAGAAGAAAAGCATTTCCTAACCATGTCTATCGCAGAGTACCTAAAGGACTACCATGAACTCTTGCAGGTGAAAGCTGGTCTCAGCCTTGAAATTGAAACTTACAGGTAAGGATCATAAAAGTGACCAATGGTGCTCTTAAGAGACACTTGAAATTCCTCTTATGCTGCAGTGGACATGTTCAGTTTCAACCTCATTTCACATAAAGCAAAAAGTTGGGGCAAGTTTGAATGTCTCCGCTTGAATGGAACATCTGAGAAATTTAGAGACAAGCAAAACAAAAAATTGTTGATGAGTAGTAAAATCTGTTGCTGTAGAGTGTGCTTGCACACACATATTTAACTTGGAGATGACTAGTGATGTGAGGTGAGAACGTTCTTCAGAGAATATTCTCAAGAATATTCTCCGAAAGATTATTCTTGAGAATTTAACATCACTAGAGATGACAAACCAGTGCTCAAAACCAGTTCAGGAGCAATGTGGGAACAAACTTACTCCAGATAAGGCAGAGATTTCGGCATATTCAGTCTATTTGGATTGACTTGGTATAATTCTCTGGAAATCTTAATTAGTAAATAGAACACTTGGTGTCGGCAGCAGGGTGTGTGTGTGTTCTTTGATGTTGAAGCCATGGAGTCTGCATCTGGTCACGATCTTTAAGATGGAGTGGGAAAAAGAAGATGGTGGATTGGAAATAACAAGTCAATTTTATGTTGTGGGTTCTAATCCAAGCAGACATGGACTTTGCTTTTGGACAAGACGCTCCAGGTGAGACAGGAAAATGAATCTGTTAAATACTATACAATTTCAACTATTTCTGCCCAGGATTGATTAAAAGGCTGCCCACATGCCCACCTGTTTTATACATAATGTTATTTGGTTTAAAAAATAAAATAAAAGTCACAAGAACATGAAATAATGAGGTTTTCAGTCAGGATTGGTATTTCCAATCAGTTTTGGAATGCTGGATTTTGTGTGAAGTTTTTCTGCCCTTTCTAATGACCGAGAATTTTCCAGAAGTTAAATTTATCTTCTAGTTAGGATGCCAGCCCTGCTCATGTGGTTTTTTTTTAGCAGTAATAGATCACTTTCAGTTTTCTTCCTTGCCCTCCCTCTGCTGGTTTCCATCACCAGCTCTGTGAACACAGATGAAAATTTTATAAATCCGTATGAAGGAGCCTCTGGTTCCTTGGAAGCCAAAATAAAATCCTTCCATGTTTTACCAAAAGTAAGAACCCTAATACCAGTATTTTTAAAAGCTTTTTTAAAAAAATAAAATCTTGGAGTGAGGAGCAACAGTACTCATTTTTCTCTTTTTAAATTCAGTGCAGCGTCATAGGAACAATGGAAGTTGCCTTTCATTAAGTCAGACCACTGGGTCCTATGCTGAATAGCTGTGGCTCTCCACCGTTTAAGGCAGGGCTTTCTTCCAAGCTTTACCTGGCAATGCTGAGAGACTGTGTGAGCCAGTCTCTCTCCCCTGCCTCATTTAATCCACACAACAGCCCTGTAAGGTAGGTTAGGCTGGGAGGGAGAGAGAGACTGGCTCACATTCACACAGAGTGGGGATTTGAACCCTGGTCTCTTCTCTCAGATGCTAGTCCAACAGTCTAACCACTATGCCACACTAGCTCTTGTAGGTTCTGCCCATGATTGAAGGAATTACTTCACAACCTGCCTCTCTGCAGCTGGTTTACTTGGCATTCCACCCCCCACCCCCCGATTCTGGGTATGTTTGTAACCAATGGTGACTGCATAAGGAAAAGATGACAGCAAAATTTAGAAAGAATGAGCCACTGTCCCATCTCCCCCCCCCCTTCTCCTTTTTTAAAAGGTCTTCTAAGTAGGCTTTGCTTGTATTGTGATGCACAGCTTGTTTTCAGCAGCACTGCTCTGGGTTCCAGCTGACTGCTGTGTGCTGCTGCTGCTGCCGCTGCTGCTGCCCTTTGCCATATACAGTGCATTGCTTGGAACTTATTTTTAGTGACTTCATTCGTTGCTCCAGCAACCGAGCAAACTGTTGTTTTATCAGCGGCCAAAAATCCTTACTCAAACTTCCCGCATTCCTAATTTCCATCATCACAGTTAACACTTTCAGGGAACTTCATCCTGTAAGGGGCTGGAAGAGATAATTTAATCCTTCCTGGAGGACTGTGTGTATTTCTTGTAGTCTACGGGAGGGACTTTAATTTGGCATCTCTGCATCCTGGGAGAACAATATGTTATAGACTGTTCACTGCAAAAAACCACAGAGCAAAAGGTTTGCAAAATGTGCAAAATTCAGTTTGGAAATGTGCTTATCCCTAAGCTAGATGATGATGGCAATAATTGGAAACTACTACCAGGCCTCCCTTTTGTATTTTTAAACATAGGAAGCCAGATCAGACTGAATCAGACCTTTGGTTCACCTAGGTCAGGACTGTCTATATTAATTGGCAGGGGACATTCCCAGCCCCACCTGGCCAGGCTAGGGATTGAAACTAGGATCTATTGCATACAAAGCAGATTCTTTACTATTGACCTATAGCCCTCCCTAGGGGTGCCAATTTGAATAAAATATTGAGGGGCCCAGGTGAGCCCCTCCCCATGTAATCAATCACATGACTTGGTGCATGCACACACACCATTTAAATGGCAATGCCCATCAACTTTGGAGACCCCAGAACCCTCAAATATTTTATTGGGGGGGTGGGCAAAAGATGCTCCTTCACATATGCCAGCCCATCCTTGCCATGACAGCAAGTGCTAGTGTGAGAGGATCTCCATTCTCTGACTTTTCTAGCTGTTGTCTTACTTGGGATTGTAAAACCAGTAGTGAATGATTCATACGTGTGGTTCTTCATTAGGCTGATAGTTTTTAATTGAAAAAGCTAGCCAAATATCTAGTCCTCATGTTTTTAGAGATCACTTTGTGATGACAAGGACTCCTTGGTAGAATGTTCAGTGTGCTGAATGAATTCCCTGCTTTCCATCACAGTAAGTGGTTTTAACTCCAAATCTAAAGTTCATGGTATTAAATGTCATCATTGTTAACTATTTCACAGTGAGTATGTGTTAATACATTTTATTAAATTTCTTTCTAAAAGGAAAATATTCCATAACAAGTATGAAATTTCACACAATTGTTTCATAGTTATATTCAAACATACAGTTACATCCATTTAACGTCTTCCTGTATCTTAAAATGTCAAGCATAATCAAATAAACAGTTTGATTGAAGCATGCATTCCAAAAGACTGCAAACTGTTTCCAGCAACTAGATATATAATCTTATTTATCCTTTAACTTCTTTCTTGATACCTCTCTAGATACGTCAATTTCAGCATAACCACAACTATCCATCTGCAATTTACCCATTTAGCTGTGCTTGACCCCTCCACTCCCTTCCATTTAACTAGCTATTAAATTGATTACAAGTTCGTGAAGTTCCGTAGCTATGTTACCTCTTTATGTAACCTAGAAGGAAAAATAATTTGACTTACTGGGATGGCTACTGATGTTGTTGTTGCACAATGTTTATGGGTGGTTCTTTTTTTAAAAAAAAAATTACAAAATGCTATCTAGGAGCTAGAATTTTTAGCTATCACACTCTTCCAGATGAGCCATTTACAGAGTTGAAGTGGTCATCTTGTTATCTGTTCGAAACATTTAGCAGAGTTGAAACCAAAAGTGTGTTCCAGCAGAGTATTAAAGTGGCAGCTTAAATGAACTCTATGTTTAAAGTCAGCTGTTCAAGAATTTCCACATTCTTACAGGTCTTAATTCTAGCTTTCAGAAGAATATATTGCAACGGCATAAACAGAATCGGCTCTGGGCAGGTTTGTGTGCAAGAGAGAAGGAGGGAAAAGGAGGAGGTAGGAGTCACAGAACTCTTCTGGTCTCCTTAGAATGATTAGAAGATCAGGAATGTGACATGTCTGTACTGTACCATGGTCCGTATGAAATGCCAACCCCTGTACTCTTCTAATACTTGCTTTTGTGTATTACAGAGCTTTACTAGAAGGAGAGAGCAGTCAATGGATTCTTATGTGGGATGAAGAGCATGGCAGGAAATTACCACAAGGTATGAATTGCAGACATGCATGTGTGCATTTCAGAGTAAGGAGTGGAAGTGACATGTCGGCATCATCACTAGTAATTCTGCATATCCTTGTTTCAACAGAGGGGGAGCTCTTGCTTCTAGTTCTGTGAAGGTTTATATAATTACATATGGTGCAAGGAGAAAGTGGACAGAGACGTTTTCCTCTCTCTTTCATAACACTGGAACTTGGGATGGCCCGGTAACATTGGCTGCCAATGAGGGCAGCCCAAATCAAGCATGTATTTCACACAATAAGAATGTAAGAATCACCCTGCTGGGTCAGACCAATGGTCCATCTGGTCCAGCATCCTGTTCTCCCAGTGGGAAGCCAATAATAAGAACCTGAGTGCAGGTTGGGGAAGGCTTCAATAGCCAGAGCCAATGAGATGCAGAGCCAATTGATTCTAGCTTTGTTCCCACCTTCTTCCTTACTGAGTTGTATAATGGCAGCGCTGAGACTAAGGAAAAAGAAGGTAACAGCGGCGCCACTCTCTAGACTAGTTGGAAGAAAAAAGGCAGTAAGGAGGCTGGGGTCAGACTGATGTTGGTGGGGCAGTGCGCCACTTGCTCAAATGAACCGGCCTCCACTGAGTAGCTCATATGGATAGAAAAGCCTCCTCACTTCAGAAAATATATGTCAGTACGAGAAAGGCCAGGAGGATCCATGCAACTTGGAGAGTGGGGCGATAACATGCATAGCCCTGTAGCTCCTTTTGGTAACATGAAGAGGTCTTGGGAAGAAAGGTTCAGAGACAAGGAGCAACAATTTGAGGGAGCAGAAGGTCTTCAGAGATTGTAGTGGAGCTGGGGTAGATTGAGAGTTAACATCAGATAAACATCAAAGAAATAAGGGGGAGGTTGTTGTTGTTTAGTCATTTAGTCGTGTCCGACTCTTCGTGACCCCATGGACCATTGCACGCCAGGCACTTCTGTCTTCCACTGCCTCCCACAGTTTCGTCAGACTCGTGTTGGTAACTTCGAGAACACTGTCCAACCATCTTGTCCTCTGTCTTCCCCTTCTCCTTGTGCCCTCCACCTTTCCCAACTTCAGGGTCTTTTCCAGGGAGTCTTCTCTTTTCATGAGGTGGCCAAAGTACTGGAGCCTCAGCTTCAGGATCTGTCCTTCCAGTGAGCACTCAGGGCTGATTTCCTTAATAATGGATAGGTTTGATCTTCTTGCAGTCCGTGGGACTCTCAAGAGTCTCCTCCAGCACCATAATTCAAAAGCATCAATTCTTCGGTGATCAGCCTTCTTTAAGGGGGAGGTAGAATCAATAATTATAAATCACCATCAATTCCCTCCATTTCTAATGTTGAGGCACAAATGCCATGCCAAAATGACCAAGGGGAACCCTTATGAAGAAGGGTTACGGTATTGGTGACTTTTTAGTTTAGAGAAAAGGTGTGAAAGAGGTTACATAATAAAAGGTATTGTGTGGAATGCACTTCTGAAAGAGGCAGCAATAATAGAATTGTAGAGTTGGAAGGGATCCTAAGGGTCATCTAATCAAATCCCCTGCAGTGCACAGTGGCCGCCATCTTGAATGGCTTTAAAAGAGGATTAGACTAATTCATGGAGGATAAGGCTATCAAAGGCGGTATGTTGGAGGCAGTATGCTTCTGAATCTAAGTTGCTGGAAATCACAGGTAGAGAGAACGCTAGTGCCCTTGAGTGATGTTTGCAGGTTCCCCAGGGCCGTTTGGGTGGGCGCAGTGAGAGTGGAGTGCTGGACTGGATAGGTTGCTACTCTGCTCTAGCAGGACTATTCTTACGTTCTTAGCCAAAATAGCACTATCCATGGCCAAGAGGGAGGCATCATTGGAAGCCCCAAGGTTTGCAGGTGTACAAAATATCAGTGTGGCATACACATAGCTCTGGTTTTACCTAATGGATTTTAGCGCCCACTGTGAAAAGAATTGGAAATGTGTGTTTAGGATTAGCCATTAGTAGCACATAATACTAGGGCTCCCTAGCTGAGTGGTGTTAATAATTATGAACGGAATGTTTCTCATGGAATTTCATCCTGTTTGCACACCAATATCGCTTGTTGCTCTGCAGGTGCAAATCTCATTTACTTTGATGGTCAATGCGTTAGGGACCTTGTGATGAACTGTACAGAAATTAAACCTCCTGGGATTATGCAGTTGTCCACATTTGTCATCTGTGTTTTGAAAAGATAAGCAGGAATGGATAGTTTGACTGCAAAGCAGCACCCATTTTTCTTAGATGTGTTAATGCTATGCTGTAATTAAATTTTTGCCAATTGTGTGTGGCTGTGTTTGAACACTACTTAAGTATACTATGTTAACAGCCATGATTTTCATTTGTTTTATCTATCGGCAGGTGTCCGGAACAAGCTTTATGAGTACAGCAACCGCCACTCAGCTTATCAACAGGCAAAAGGAAGGAGAACTTTTCCTGCAATCCAGAATGTTGACACAAGATATAAATCCCCTGTAACAAATATTAGCAGCTCTGCAGTTTATTCATCTCAAACAAAAACTGGTGGAATGCAGACAGTGACTCCTGGGAGACCATTAAGAAGAGATGCCTTCAGGACAGAACACCGCCCTTCTGCAGCCGTCACAAAGGACACAACTCGCAAGAGAACTATGACAGAACAGAGAGAGATGCGAACATTTACCCCACCTTATCTTATTAGCCAGGGGAAAGAAGCTCAACGAAGAACATTTCCTGAAAGGCAGAAAACTGAAGCTGGGAGTACTGTGTCTTTGAAAGAATCAACAACTATTCAGAAAGGCACAACAAGTCCAAATATTTCTGAAAATGCAAGAGCGAAAGTGGGTATGTTTCCATCTTCTGGGCTAAGTTCCAGTTCTAAAGAAACTAAATATGAGAGAACCATAGAAGGAACTCAGACTAGAGTGAGTGAACAGATCAAAGACAGCAAGCCAGTGAAAGAGGAAAAAACTGCTTTGCTGGAGGGAAGAGAGAGAAACGAAAGATGGCCCAAGGAAAAGATAGACTCTGCCACTGTGAAGACCGACAAGAAATCCATCAATGTTAGCTTTGAAAAGAAGACTGAAATTAAGGAAGGCATCATTGAAGAAAAGCAGACAGTGGAAGGATCTACCATGAAGGATAACATGAGGGGAAGCGGCCTTTTGGGAGATAAAGCACCCAAGCCCGGAAGCTATGTGAGATGGGAAGAAAGGATTAGAGTGGACACACCAGGGAAGAATCTTCCAACAGATACAAGGATGGAAGAAAGCCATTCATTTCAAAGGGAGAAAAATGTGAGCATGGCAACACAAAGTAAAGAAGCTGCTGAGATCCCTATCCCGTCAGAAGTGTATACTCACAGCCAAGTACTGAAAGACAATAGCGTAGAAAGAACATTACAAGACTTGAAGCCTTCTGTTGAGAAACAGAAGGATGACACCACATTTAAACTTGTCAAAGAATCTAACCAAGATGAAAAAGGGAGCTCCAAAATAGACACCTTACTTCAAGAAAGTATAGCAGAATCCATTGTTTCTGACATTCTTAAAGGGTTCGTGCAGAAACCTTCTGATGGTGGAGATCCCTCTGATTTCAAAGTCATCTCCATTGAAAAGAAAGACATTTCAGAGAATGGAAAAGTGAAGACTGAGATCAATATACAGTCTACAGTTCAAGATGAATTGCACATTTCTGATGAGTTTGACCTGGGAACTTCCTTAGAGAAAGATGTTAAAAAAGTTCTGGGAGACATTAAGGGAATTCCAGATGAAGGTGTAATAGAAGATCTTGTGAAAGGAAAGGGGGGCAAAGGCAAGAGGACTGTTAAAGTTGAAATAGTTGAGGAGCCAATGGAATCTACAGCTGAAATGGAGTCTTCAACACCGTTTGAAGTAGAGGAAGTAGAAGATACATTGCCTGATATGGCCAGGCATCTATACTATGGGGATGAAGATAGAGCTACCACAAGTACTATCAAAGATGTTAAGCAGAAGCAACCTAGTGTGATCGTGTCTCATGTGGAAGAAGTATCTGAGGGGGATGATGTAGTTGATGAAGAAAAGTATTTTGTGTCTACTCCAGAGGAGCGCCCCTTGGGTGAAGAAGAAGCCTCACTATATGGTCAAATCCATATCGAAGAAGAATCAACAGTTAAGTATTCCTGGCAAGATCAATTCTTGCAGGGATCTCAAACAAAGATAAATGAAGGTATGGGCTCCCCAGAACTGATTTACCAAGTGATGGGGGGAGGGACAGCTGCCTACATTTCAAAGGAGGAGGTTCCAAAGGAGCAAGTGGCTCATGCCGAATCCATTGTTATTGAGAAAGAGATTAAAATCCCGCAAAAATTTCAGGAGTCCATAAAGGATCTCTTTTCTCAGGAGTCAAAGGACCCAAAGCTTCAGTTGAAAGAGGCACTGGAAAAGCTTGATCACACCCTTCCAGAAAGTGTGAAACAGGAGCTCTCTGCATTAACGGAAGAGGGCCAAGCTGATGCTAGCAGTCTAGAAGTGGATATTAAAAAAACAGAGGACACAAAAAAGGGGGGGTTGGTTACTATAGTCGCAGAAGTCAATCTGTCCCAGGTGCTCAACCCTGACCAGTTAAATGCAGAACTTTTGGGCAAGATGAAGTTGCCAACACAGTTACCAAGCGATGATGATTTTGATGACCGCCGAAAGCAAGAGTCAGAAAGCTACAGTGGTGGTAGAAAGAATGTTGACATAGATGTTTCTTCCACACCTTGGACTATAGAAGAGGTTTCTAGCTCTAGCAAACTAAGCAGCAGTGATGCCAGGGAATATCATACAAACGAGCAAGTTATCCACCAGGTCCCAGTTTTCAAAACTATGGAAATTAATAGAGGAGGAGGCGAATATTCTTCACAAGGGTCATCTGACGTTAACAGACATTTTCAGCAAATTGTAGTTGGTCCAACAGAAATTCACAGAACTGAGCAGGTTTTATATGAAGGCCCTATTTCTGAAACTCTGGAGTTTGGTTCAGGTGGCTTTCAGACTGGAGCATCTGCAGATATCAGTCAGTCCACAAAGGAATTCAATCTTGGCCCTAAAGAAATTCAGACCACAGAAAAAATAATTTATAGAGGGCCTGTTCATAAAACCATGGAAATGAGTGGCCCTGAAAGTCCTACTCAGGCACAGTTTTCTGCCGAAATTAGGTCCTCTAAGCACGTTACTTTGGGTTCAAATCAAATTATTGAAGAAACTGTTTTTGAGGGGCCAGCTTCAGGCTTATCATCAAACAGTAGCAGTGAGGCTGTTTCTCAGACAAAAGGGCCAGTAGAAAGCAGCAGTTTGATAAGGCACATTCGGATAGATCCCAAACAAGTACACACTGAACAAGTTGTATATGAAGAGCCCCTTTCAGGATTTGTGGAGCTTAGTAGCACTGGAGGCCATACTGTGACTGAACAGACAGTGAGACATATTCGTCTAGGGCAAAAAGACACCCATATATCTGACCAAACTATATATGATGAATCTCTCCTCAAAGCAACTGAATTTGGTGGCTCTCCAGACAAACATTTCAAGGAGGGGATGGTAGATACCAATACCACTGTTCGGCACATCAAATTAAGTCCAAAACCATTTGTAACAACTGAGGAAATTGTTTTTAAGATGCCCACTTCCGAACAGCACCTAGAGTTTAGTGAAATGGGACAGGCATTTTCTTCTGAAGGGTTAGTAACACACATTAAATTAGGGCAGAAGGAAGTTCTGAGCAGTGAGCGTGTTGTTTACCAAGGTTCTCTTTCAGAATCTTCAGGGATCAGTTCTCCTGGGGAAGACATTTGGGAAGAAGGAGGTTCCATGGAGGTCAGTAGATCAATGAGGCACGTCAGACTCAGCCCTGCTGAAACTCATGCTGAACAGATTATATTTCATGGCCCTATTTCTGAAACAGTGAGGGTCGGCACTGCAGAACTATCCCCAACAGATGGGCCCTCAGAAAGCAGCAAATCTGTTGGGCATATAAAGATAGGACCCAAGGAAAAGTCTTTTACCTTTCAGATGGATGTAACCAATGTGGAAGGGGGAAGGCAAGATGCTACCATTCTCGTACCGAACAGGAAAAAAGCAGCTGCCTCACAGCTGGAGGGCACCATGAAAGATGATCAGAAGGACACAGATAGTGAACAAAGATTAGAGGAGTCAACATTTGATGAGACTGTTCAACTTCAAAGGATGGTAGACCAAAGATCGGTGATTTCTGATGAGAAGAAAACGGCTGTTCTTTATCTGAATGAGAAGGAGGAGGAGGAAGAAGAAGACGATGGACCTTGGTTCTGAAAAGAATATTGTCAACTTTTAAAAAAAAATCTAGGAGCTTGATTGTCATTTATATATAGCTGACTTTAAAAGGGGGGGATTCCCTTCAACTTAGCCATTAACAATGACGTTATATAAGAGTATTTTTTTAAGCAGGATCTTTTGAATGCACATGTGTTCACATGTTACAACACTAGGTCTGCTTTTGCTAATGCCATTGGGTCCTGAGTCTGAGAGTATTTGACTCTACAGGAAAACCATCAACCTCATTTAAGTCTAGAAAGCTGTGATACTATAGCAGCTTTAAAAAGTATTCAAGAGCAATCCAATTTAAATCATCTGGGACTTGTCTGGAGAAAATGTCTTTATGGCATATGCAGATAAGTTTCACTTACTTTTGGAACCATTTATTAAAACTGAAAGTTGCGCAAAACCAGTTGGGGAAAAACATAGCAAAAATAAATGAATAGTGTTGCCAGGCAACCCAGTTAATCGCTGATCTGTCAAATATACCGTACCTTTCAGTAGGTGACCAAGTAGGAAGATAGGAAGCTGCCTTATACTATGTCAGACCATTGGTCTATCTAGCACAGTGTTGCATGCACAGACAGGCAGCAGCTCTCCAGGTTACAGACAAGAGTCTTTCCAGCTGTATCTGAAAAATGCTGGAGATTGAACCTGAGACCTTTTACACATGCTCTACCACTGAGTTCTGGTCCTTCTCCCAACCAAATGGATGCAACAGAAGACGAGTGAAAATGTGTTGAATTCATATAGGTTAATACCTTGTTTTATTTCTCTCTTTTACACACACACACACACACACTACAACCACCACCTCTAAAACGGTGGGCATATTTTACTAGCGATGCAAGTTTGATTAGGATTAAGGCTCTCACTTTTAAGCATTTTCACAGAAATGGCGTTAAAATGCAGGGGGAGAATCTTCACCTCTTAAGTGACTTTTTTTCAGGCTGCTCTTAAATTCACAGGAACAGGACCAATGAAAAGTGGCCACCCTGTTTAAAGTGAGTCCCTGCACAACTCCTGTTTGCTGAAATGGGGCTGTGATGTTGCAAAGTTTAGCACACTCACCATTAGCTTGTGCTAAAACGCCTTGTATCCAGTTGCTATGAGCTATGTCATAATGATAAGGGTGCTATAATACTTCAGCACTAAAAGAAAGAAAGAGCGAGCAGCTACATTTGGTGCTGGTAAATAAACATAAAAAATTAAATATGCACCCAGAATGTGCATTTTTCTTACATTTATTTCTAATCACAATAGGCAAGAAGAATTGAGATGAACTCAAAATGTAAGTTTAATTTGGTTGGCCCTTGTGAAAAAAGAATTTTTTGACTAGGTGGGTCCTTGTAGGGCTCTTCTTAGATTCTTAAGCTTCCACAGCTGTGTGACTTACGTTTCGTTGCATGTGGTGCAGGATGGGGTGTGTGAAATTAAAAATCGCACGAAAGGCTGAAGTTTTGATTGTAAATTAGACCAGGTATCCATCTAGTCTAGCAGTCTGCTTCCGTGTAGCCAACCAGATGCCTCTGGGAAGTGCATGTCAAGGCAGTGGCACTCTTCAACGTTTGTTACACACACACACACACCAGCAACTGAGGTGCAGTGGTGTGATGATCCTGTGATTCTCCTCTATCTGGTGACCCTGTCCATAGCCATTGGTAGACCTAACCTTCCCAAATTTGCTTGATCTCCTTTAAACGAACCCAAGCCAGCAAATAGGTGACTTTTTAACAGGCCAAGAAGAAAGGAATCAGACTTGAGAACATTTGATGCTGTCTTATATCAACTCAGTCCACTCTAGCTAAGAATTGCTCTTGCCCAGGGGTGAGGGCAACCCTTCTCTAGCCAAGGGGGTGATCTGTCAGGGGCTGCATACCGGCAGTGGGTGGAGCCAGAGTGGACAATGGGCAGAGCTGGAGACAAAAGTTTACCAGAACGAAGAGCAATCTCATTTCAATTTTCACCATGGCTACTTCAGAGAATAAGTACCGATCCTATTCAGGTCTGTTCAGAAGTATGCCCCATAGCATTTGAGGGGGTAACTCTGAAATACATATAATAATAATAATATATTTATTGTTTATACCATGCCCATCTGCCTGGGTTTTCCCAACCACTCTGGGCAGATTCCAACAGAATATTAAAAATAGAATCAAACATTAAAAACTTCCCTAAACAGTCTCATAGAAAGGAAGGGAACATGATTCCTTTATTACCTTCGTGTTTTAAACTTGCTCCCTCTCTTTGTCACAGACATGGCATTAGCTTACCAATTTGTTCTCAGGTAGCTGGGGTGTTTCCCGCCCCCCACAAGCAGCTGGGGTGGGGTGGGAATAAAAATACATCAATTTATTTTGATAAAATATAGAAGGACAGAGGAACACTTTTAAAAGCCATGGAAAATGCCAGAGATACCAAAGAGGAAGGGAAAAACTGATAGGGTGGAAGACAGGCAGCCTTTGAAAGCACTGGGGGCTGCATACCATGTTGATGGCCACAAGTTGCCTATCTACAGTCTACCATGACTGGAAGTGGCTTCCTGGAGTTTCATATGAGTCTGTCCCAGGCCTTTCTAGACCACATCTGCACTATACAGTACATTTAAAACACTATTGTACCACTTGAAACAGTCATGGCTTCCCCCCAAAGTATTCTGGGAGTTGTAGCGTGTTAAGCATGTTGTTGTTAGGAGACGCCTAGTGGCCTCATGAAGTTGTAATTCTCAGAGTGATTTAATTGCAGCTTTGTTGGGGGAATAGTCTCTCAATGACTCTCAGCACCCTGAACAAACTACACTTCCTTTGGGGCAAGCCATGCCTTTTGAAAGCGGCACGATAGTGCTTTAACTGTATTTTTTTCATAAGATTTATATACTGTTCGATGGTAATAAAACTTCAAAGCTGCTTACAAAGTAAAGAATAAAACAATATTAACAGTAAAAAGCAATTAAAAACAACTGTTTAAAACATTAAAAATAATTGAAATCTATTTCATTTGTATAGTACAGATGAGGCTCCAGATATTTTCTGCATGCAAAACAGTTCTGGCTTCTGCCAGAGGAATTTTGCAACTGGATGCTTAAGGCTGGACATGCACTTACAGATTCAAACTTAGAATCTTAGGCATATTTCATTACTGGTTTTCTACACCTAAAACTGAATCGTCACTTAGCACAAGCTGCTGTTTCGCTTGTTTTTATCCAGAGAGAATACAACTTACTAGGATCTAACCTGTCACATATATGCCAGTCTGTCCTATTTAATAGTTGTGTTTCAATAGCATCGAGCTAGAAAGATTAATAACATTGCCTCAGGCAATGTTTCTACTCACAGGCAGAGCTTATTCAAACATTTTTTTTAAATTGAATATGAACAGTGGGAAGTTGGGGGCGGGTGTAATGTTATGCAGTAGAATATGCTTGTAGTTTACCTCAGAAGTGGGGCACTTTTCTCCTTAATGCTGCAATCTTAAGCACACTTGGGAAGTGAATTCTGTTTCAAGTGACACTTTCTTCCAATGCTTTTTAATACCCATTACTATAATAACCCAGGCCCTGATCCAGCTTATGCAGGACTTAATTCCATTTAAAGCAAAAGGAGTCAAGTTAGTGGTAACTGACTTTTTCCATTGGCTTCAACTGTAGCTGGATTGGGGCCAAAGTCATGGGAGTATTCAATATCTGTGCAAGTGAAATGGAAAAGGTGTTGGGAGTTGCAGTGTGAGAACTGTAGCTCTAGGTCAGCCACCCCTAACCTGGTGCCTGGGGGTGCTGGGCATTGGAGTTCAAAATGTCTGGAGGGCACCAGGTTGCAGAAGGCTGCCATAGGCAAAAGATTGCTACAGTAGGTGTTTTCAGAGGCCGTAGACATGTTGAAATTGGGTGGATTAATGTCAGGTGGGATTTTGTAGGCCATTTTTGTATTTGTTGGTTAAAATGCAGTGTGTGTTTCTGTGATGGTTTAAAGCTATTGTGACTTTGCACTTTTTTCTTTATTAAGTATTAAACATTAAAAATGAATGTGTCTTCCTCTTTTATAAACATGTTTTATATTATTTTTAGAAAAAAAAACTTTTAAAAATACATATGAAATGAACAGGTTTTTATCTAGGTCAGAGTTTCCCAAACTTGGGTTTCCAGCTGTTTTGGGACTACAATTCCCATCATCCCTGTCCACTGGTTCTGCTGGGAGTTGTAGTCCAAACACAGGTGGAGACCCAATTTTGGGAAACCCTGATCTAGGCTCTGAGGCATCTTTATTTGGACCAGTGGACACAATTCTGCAAGCACTTAAAGGTCACAGTTCAGCACAGTTATGTTAAAAGCAGCATGCCTTCCTTAACCCCGTTGGATTGCGGCCTGAAATGCATTCAACGTTATTAATTACCTTTTTCTTAAATCTCGCCACCTGTCCAAGGGGCACAGGATGGCAGGTATGGTTTTTCACCCTCTCTCTTTATCTTGACAACAGTCCTGTCAAGTTGGCTAAGAAGAGAGGTGATGACTTTCTCAAGGTCGCCCAGGGAGCTATGTGACAGACTTCAAACCTGTGTCTCACTGGGTCTAGTCAGACACACTTAACCGCTACACCATACTGGCTCTCATCGGGATACAAAAGCAAAAATATTGTTCTGTATACCATTGTGATATTTTTCCTATCGTTATTCATAACCTATTCATTTTTCATCTGGGTTGTATCCAGCCATATGCTGCACATGAAGAAAAGGAGAGCTGGCAGTTAGAAAAAATGTTTTTAGGAGGGGTTTGGAGTGCTTTCAATATTATCACGGGTAACGACAAAAGAAGTACAAGTGGGTTGTGTTCCTCTTTCCTGGCTTGTTTTGTTATGTTTGAAAAGTGAGAAATCTGTTCTCTGTCCCCATGTGACCTGCTTTGATTTGGCCTCCCCCAAACATAGGCTGTATACATAACCATTTATTCTGGTTCTAGTGCTCTCCCACTGCTGTTGTTCGAAGCCCTGCACACTTGGTGTTAACCACAATCCAGATCTAGCCTATAGTTTCTTGAGAAACATGGCAGTTTGAGGCATTTCCCCTCAAAACAGCTTCCATCCAATTTGAAAATGCCCTTTGCAGTTAAGTGGAGGTATATACATTTGAGATAGCCATTGCACATGCACAGATGACAGCTTCATGGATAGAAGGGGTTTTTTTTGGGGGGGGGATTGTGCATGCAAGGAAACCAAAAAGGTAATAACGCACATTGGTGAAGACACCTACCCCCTCTCCAGTGTGTGCAGCCATGTACGAATGCTACTTGAAATGCAATGTTAGGGAGAGCACCTTGCTGTGTCTTAAGTCAAAGATGTGTACATAGTGCTAGAGAGCAAAAGAGAGAGAATGAATGGAAGAGAGTGCAAGGATGGAAGAATGGGGTAAGATGTGCATTTGAGTGAATAGATGTGTTTGTGTGAATGAGGGATGAATGCAGAGAAGGGGCTGTCACCTATTGGTTGGCTCTGCCTGCCACCACTGGTATGTATAGTAGGTAGTCCTTGACGTCAAAAAAGTTGGTCCCCTTTTGGAGCACATGCATCTTCTCAAAGGATGGGGAACATGTGGCCCACCAGATGTTGGCCATTTTATGGGCTGATGGGAGTCCAAAAACATCTGAGGAGCCACAGGTTCCCCCATCCCTGTGCCAAAAGGTTGGATGCTTAAGCTTACATTTCAAATGCAGAAGTGCAAATATAGGCTGTCCCTTAACTAATCATAGCTCTCAGGACCTCAGGAAGGGCTCTTTCCCATCCCTACTACCTGAGACCCTATAACTTTCCATGGATTGAACCTAAGGCTTTATGCATGCAGAGTTATTTGCTATGGTCCTGCTCTTGTAAGTGGATTGTGGTTTAAAACTGCCAGTGCAAAGTCTAATGTAGAAGAACAGATAACAGAAGGTCACAGTTCTGCTAGTCATCTTGTCTTCCTTTCCCTTTTAAGGAGTCCATGCAGTTTACTGAGTAAACCATCTGATTATCTCTGACAGCTTCTTGTTTTTTAAATAGTGAAGTAAAGTGAACTGAGTTCCACTTGGTTGTGTTGCAAATTTCTGTGAGATGGGAGGGAAAGGACAATCTCTATGCTCATACTTTCAAAAACCTTTTTTGGTAACAGTCATGCTCAGCAGAATATAAAACTGCATTGAGAAGTATCCTCCTGCAGTGGTCAGTGATGTTCAAGACAGAGGTCACTACCAGAGAAGGACAAAAGTCCAAAAGCTTGTACTAGTGTGCTGCTGTATAGAGTAATGACCTTGGAATCTTTTTGACAATGACTCATCTATATTTTCCAGGAGGCATTTTTGTGACATACACTGTCTACCAAGCTTGCTAGGGGACATGTAACTTAAAATAACAAGAGCAGCTGCAGAGAGGTCAGGATGAAAAATCTATTGGATAACACACACGTCCGTAGACACCTCTCCTGTTAATTATTTGGTTAATGGCATTATATGCATGATGAAATAGAAGTATTTTATAATTCACAGATTCTGAAATACATCCTGTCTGCCCAGCATCTTAGAAAGCTCTGTAATTTGGTCTCTCACGTTCCTATTTGTTGTTGAGAGAACTTAATAGCACTGATGTACTGAGTTGACACTGACTGCAACCTAGATTGAAACTCCAAAGCCGGCTCAGTTGAGAAAAGGATGGACCTTCTCACATGAAATCTTGGGGTTCCATCCACACACTCTGTACCAGAAGTTCTCAAACTGTGGTCTACAAATCCCCATTCATGTGATCCATGGAAAGCTTATGGAACAGTTGAGAATATCCACTTGACTCTTCTAAAACTGGGGGGAAATTGCACCAGACTTTACGGAACTTCCCATCACTTTAGAAAGTCAGGGCTATTAAAATACAGTTTATGTATGTGCTTTGTTCATTAGAACAAGGACAATGAATGTTGATTAAGTGGTCCACCCAAGACCCCCAGCAATTTTCAAGTGGTCCATGATAGGAGGCGAGTTTGAGAGCTACTGCTCTCTAAAACGGAAAGGTACCCCAATGAAGTAAATAGCATTGTGGGAATGGCTGTGATGTGACATACCTTTGCTATACAGGTGAAGGGGTGGGATTATTCAGATTAGGGGTAGGCAACTCTCAGGGGTCTCTATTAAGTCCTATGGGACAAAGTAAATGAATAGAAATGGTTAAAGGAGAGATAAACACTTGGTCAGCAAGGACAAGAGGTAGGTTTCCCCCTGTGGTGCTCTTCAAATTTTGCCCTTTACTTGTCTCATGTAACTGAGACATACGGAGGGAAAGTGTAGTGCTGCAGTTGTGGGAAGTGGCATTGGGAACAAAATGTCCATCCATTGTTGGAGATTCAGCTTTCCACTGAGGTGGACTACACGGGGTGGGGAGTAATGCCTCTTCTCAGAAAATGCTTTAATCAGGCCTAGTAAACTTGGCAAGATGGTGAGACCTCAGCATCTTGGCAGGACCCCAGGCTGAAGGCTTCTGTGGTAGCGGTGGGCAAACATAAATTTCCCACAATGATACAGCTCAGCCAGTGTAGCATAACTCAAGACCATTGTAGAAAATTAAAATGGTGCATGCACACACACCCTGTAGGGACATTTTAATTTCCCACAGTGCACTGCAGCAATGATAATTCAGGCACTTTGGAGCATTGTGGGCAATTGAATCTGCCATCTGTCAAATGTTGGAAGTGCAGGGACAACTACAGGGCACTTTGCCAAAGGCTTCCTCAAATCTGGAGATAGCCCTGACTGTAATGTATAGGTCCCTTGCTGCTACTACTGCACCTGCCTCATGCTGGTGTCTTGCTAGTTTAATATTAAGGAAGCATACTGTAAAAATAAACACCACAAAAAAATATCTCAGCATATCACCTTTCTACAAAGCAATGTAATACAGGAAGAATGCAGCTTCCCCCAGGGATCCCTCCCAAGTGCATAGGAGTCAAACTTTTGAGAACTGAGATAGCCAACAGGCGTGTGGGTGACACTTGGGCCCTCCTCCACTAAGTCAAACCTATCTTCAGAAATGTTCCAACAGCTTCATGTGTAATGAAGATAATATAGTGCGGCTGTTAAAAATAGGGCTGCTTGCAAATTCCTTCAAGAAATGTTTGACAGGGCTAACAAGGGATGCCAGCAAAATATATACATAAACCTCTTCTATTTCAGCCACAGCCCTTTCTGAGCTGTTGAAAAACAGCAGTCCTTATAGTCCAGCTTTAAACTGGTGGTAAAATCTGTGGAAATGATGGTATCACAGAAGGAACTTGAAAAGCTACCACTATCATGTTAAAGGTTTTTGTTGACGTTCTGCTACTTATGTTTCTGGGTGGCCCCACTTCCCAAGAAGTTTCATGTGGCTTCCTCTGAATGTGGGCAAACTTACAGCATTTTTTGTATAATTTGCTTTACTTGCAAACATACAATGACAGTGTACTTCTTCACAAAACACATCTTTAATTTGTGTTAATATATATTTCAAAATTCTGTTGTTGTGCTGGTCCCGGGGGAAAGGTTACTGTTACCGTAATCAAAGTTCAGTCCTGAGTCACTAGCCTGGAGATAGTCCACAAAGTGCGAGGTGAGGTCCGAAACAGGGAGCCGGGCGGGGACAGGAACACTCGAAGATCAGAAGCAGGAAGCCGGGCGGGGAACAGGAAAACTGGAGGAACAGGACTGGATGCTGGCCGAAACAGCTCTTCAATGACGACGTTGCTCCCGCAACCTGGGACCAGGCTGACTGACCTTTATCTTCTCTAAGGCCAGGGGTGGTCCCGGCCCCCAGGAGCCCCGCCTCTCCTGGCCTTAAGGCGAGCACTCCTCCTGGGAGAAACCAGTTCCCTTCGCCTCTCTGCCCTAAGCCTCTGCAGTTCAGGAGAGGCTGAAGGGTTACTGGGCCCCGGGGGAGACTCACCTGTAGACACTGAGTCCTCAACCACCTCTGGGGCCAGAATGGATTCACCTGGTGCCTGCTCCTGAGGATCTGGCACAGGTGCAGGCTCCTCAGAATCCAGGCCTTGCCCCAGTTCAGCCGGCCCTGGAGGCGGGGACTCCTGTGCCGGCTAGGATTCCTCCGGTTCACTCTCAGAATCGGAATCCCGGGCCATCACAGTTGTATGCTGAAATGCAGTATATAAGTAAAGGTAAAAAGGTAAAGGTAAAGGACCCCAGATGGTTAAGTCCAGTCAAAGGCAACTATGGGATGTGGCGCTCATCTTGCTTCAGGCTGATGGAGCCGGCGTTTGTCCACAGACAGCTTTCCGGGTCATGTGGCCAGCATGACTAAACTGCTTCTGGTGCGACACAACACTGTGATGGAAGCCAGAGAACACAGAAATACTGTTTACCTTCCTGTTGCAGTGGTACCTATTTATCTACTTGCACAGGTGTGCTTTCAAACTGTTAGGTTGGCAGAAGCTGGGACAAAGCAACGGGAACTCACCCCGTTGTGGGGATTTGAACCACCAACCTTCTGATCAACAAGCCCAAGAGGCTCAGTGGTTTAGACCACAGCGCCACCCACTCCCTATAAGTACATATATAAGTATATATTTTACGTTAGTATATAAGTACACTTGTATAAATAATAATTTGTGGGAACTTGCTGCCATAAGACTGGGGTGATGGCCCCAAGTTTTATCTATCAATGCCTGCATATATGTCATGGGAATCTATAAAGAACCTCCAGATTCAGAGGTAGTACGCCTTGCCCTTCCTGCCATTGGGGAGCAACAGGGGGCTGTTGCTTTCAAGGCCTGCTGGTGTATTTCCTGGAGGCACCTGGCTGGCCATTGTTGGAAAGATGCTGCTGGACTAACTTTGGTCTGATCCATCAGAGTTCTTTTTAGAACAAAGAAGCACCTCTACAAGGCAGCAAATTTTCTATGTCTTGGGCTCACCCACCTCTTTAGCCCTGTGGGCACATTTGGATTTTTAAGTAAGTACTGTGGGTGCCACTCCCTCTGGTCTCTTCCTTCCAGTTTTGTGGGCTGCGGCTTTGTGGGCAGCTGGGGGAAATCTCAAATGCACTGTTGTGCCTACAGGTGCAACTTTGGTGACACCTGCTCTATCAGTTATCCAGAGAGAGCGCTTGCACCCTCAAGGGTGCTTTCAACCAGTCCACAGCTTGCTGTTTGCCTTTTTCTGGCAAAAATGCTTCAGACATTTCTCTCACACACACATACACACAGCTACTTTTCTTAGCGCGCTCTCTCTCTCTAAGAGGCAGGGTGGTGGTGGGGAGAAAGTGCTTCCCCAAGTTCTGATGGGTGTCTCTTATTTGGAAACATAAGATTTCTTACTATCCTTAGCTTCCACTAAGAAAGAATTAACCAATAATTCTGGACTTTTAATCAGCACTCTAATCAACCAAAATTTGGTTGGGGCAGCATAACCCTAATGTTAGGCCATAAAATGACATGATAAACCAATTCCTTTCCCTCTCCCTCCAATTGCTTTTAAACAAAGTAATAGAAAGGAAACTGGAGGGGGGTATTTACGGTTTGAAAAATCAGAATGACTTATCTGAAAGTTTATCAGTTCTCCTATTCCATGTCCATGGGAGTTCTTACCCTGAAAATACATATGCCACTAATAATCCCCATAGACTTCAGCATGTTGCAGAGATTTCAGGATGTGAGCCCAGGAGGGGAATATAAAAATAGGCATGCTAGCTGCAGAACAACAAACTTTGACAAGGAGTTCCAGGGACAGCTGTAATACTTAAAAAGGCTTCATGGGCAAGAGAGTTTACTCTGCTTTGGGCAAACTGCCTTGTGAGCTTCGCACTCTCTTTTGTCACAAGGTTTAGAAAGGAACGCAGTAACTAATAGTTGTAAAGCTAAATATTCAGAAAACCTCAAGGCAATTACATCCCCCTGCCCTGCACCATTGTAGCTCAGGATATGTTCACATTACTGCTTATTCTGCATCCAGTGCACTCCCACCGCTAATTTTTTAAGACACATTCACACCACATTAGCCATAATCCAGATCAATCCTGTAGTTTCCTGACAAATACCAGTGTTTAGTGCAGTACACCCCCCCCAAGCTTCAGTTGTGACATTTCTCTATGAAGCTTGCAGCAGAGTATGCAGGGTTCCCAGGAGGCCTCGCATCCAGGCTCTGGCCAAATCCAGATCTGCTCATCTTCAGTACTGCTACGGCATCACATGGCTAAAGATCACAGTATCTCAAGAAGGCACCTTTATAGAAGTTATCGTAATATGTAACTTCATTTAAATTCAAATAAGGCAGAAGACTAACCAAGTAAATATCCTTTTGTTAGTTGTCAGCCCTGTTGTTTGGAATGACAGCATAAAAGATGAGAGGACCAAATAAGGATACAGCTGACTGGGTGTCTCTTGTTCCAGTTCTAGCTTGCCCTCATTTTCCACTGAAGCACCAAAGTTCCTTTTTGAGTGTTTGCTGTGCACTTTCTCATCCCAAAACTTAAGTGTTGTTGTTTTTTTTACTTAATGGATGAAAAGAAAACCTAAAAACAGCTGCTTGTGTGTTCTACCAACAGTGATGGATGAATTTGTCAATTTCAGTTTTTCAATTTTCCAGTTTAAAGTTCAGTTGTCCACATTTCCACGTTTGCATTAAAAAAGAAAAGTCCTCATGAAAATTCATAAGCATTTTAGTGCAAATTTCTCCTGATAGGCATCTTTATAAAGCAATTTCCCTAAACATACTGCACTTTTGTATATTATATTCATTAACATTTGCTTTTTTATGTACATTTTATCCTAGTCTGTGCATTTTTGTACATATTACTTGGCTGAAAAACTGCATTGCAAAACTCAGAGAATTGCCAATTTTGAAGGATGGATGCATTTTGGGTCTCATTTTGCTTTGGAAAGTGCAAATTACCAGATTTGTCTTTGAATGTGAACTAAATTGAATTTATTCCCCATCCCTACCTACCAACCTGTGGGAGCACCAAACAAATAAATAGAATGGGACCTTGGAGCATCTCCATGAATTAGCAAAGAAACAAAAGCTGTATTGGATTTTTGCATAGGTAGATGTACCTTAAATTGTAAATAGGAATGTCCTTCAGCAGGGGAGGAATAGTGGGGAAACAATTAAGCCCAAGGACATCCATTATGTTTGGGTGAACAAAGATGAAGAGTGCTGTGGTTGATACCAGTTCTTCTTTTTGGATATTCTCTGTGTGTGAGAATCATTTGTTCCAGAAACAGAGAAGAACAGAGAAGTTTCAAGAAGCAGCAGAAGGCTGAGACTGTTTTGTCTATGCAAGGACGTTTTCTGTGGGAACTGTTCTATGGACATATGCAATGTGACAGGAAGTACTGATAACAATGGTTCTGCGTAACTTGTGTAATTTGTTGTGAGTCTCTGGCTTGCATCTTGCGGTGAGAGCAGAGAGAGGCTTGGACTCTGGTTGGACTCTTAAACATGCCTTGACCACGGCAGTAGTGAATGTCTGTATATATTTGCTACCAATATGCTTTTATGCCTGTCAAGTAAACCTCTACACTTGACTGAATCTTTATGGCGTCCATGAGTGTTTATTGCCTACTGTGTGTACCTTCAACCCCGAAGACAATTCCAAGGAAGGAGCTGCGTTGAGATGTAACTCTGCTGAGTATGGATACTGGCAAACACACACGGCAAAAGTGATGCCAGAACCAATCCTTCTAAATCATCCACCAGAGGTTGATGGATTGATCCAACACTTATTGCGAAGGACTATTAACTTTCACTTGAAGAAATCCAGAACTAATTTCCTAATCAGGGACAAGATTTGGGATGAGATGCAACCAACTAAACTAGCTAGTTGTTTACATAAGTAAATAAAGCAGCTGGTGTAAAGGGAGTGTCCAGGCTGTTGCTATTTTTGAGTGGCATTCAGTCACCAGCAAATTCAGGTGGTGTCATTAAATTTGATTTGTAACTCTTGCACAACAAACCCACTTTTCTACAACCCTAGGCTCTTTGCAATAAGGAAAGTGAGGGGGAATGCCCTAGAAAGTGTGTCATAAGAACTGTAAACAAATAACAGTGAATACTCAGTAAATAGTTGCCATCATCTACTCCCCCCACCAAAAAAAGAAAACCCTTTGTGTAAACAAATCAAGATAACTGCTTAATAAACAGTTCATCTGGAAGCAATCAGAGAATGTCCTATTTTAAATGAGGAGAATTTCAGTAACAGTGTGCTTAAATATTATCATTTGTATAACCTTGGGAGTTCAATAGCATTCCACAGTTCAGTTCTGCAGCTCTGTTAAATTATTCACTCATATCATTTTACAAAACTGTTTCAGCTCAGCAAAGCAATCTCTATTAAGATGTAACTTACTTATATGCAAAATGTTCCTGTGCCAGCTCTGTTGTTAAGCAAATTGAGCATGTTAATGTCTTACATATATTAAATGCTAACTATGCACCTCTCTGTCAGATCTCTGTCCCTCAGCCTGGAGCCAGTATGTCTCTGCCTCTTCAGGGCTGAAGTCCTTAAACAACAATGTTTTTGTGGCCAGTGACTCCATCAGCATTTATACAGAGAGCAGTGTCCAAAAGAAGAGAACAGGATCCAAAAAGTTAAAAGCAGAGGTCTGAAAGTGCCAGCTGTTTAAGCCATTGAAAATAGTCCGGATTTGTTTTTAAGCAGAGGAGTGGAAGTGATTCTGAGAACAGCCAGTATTCATCCTGAAATTAATCAAGATTCATGCTCACAACTCAGCCAACTGTGCAACACTATGATATACTATCATTATTTATTACACGTTTACCTTTCTGCTTCTTCAAAGAACTCAGGATAACCTAAATGACACACCCCTAATTGACACAACTCTGTGAAGCAGGTTAAGCTGAGAGTTACTGGGTCTAGAACACCCAACAAGCTTGGGTGTCCTAGACCCAGTAACTTACCAAGTGGAGATTTCAGCCTAGATTTACTCATTCTGAAGTTCAACACCCTATGCAATACTGGAGCTTTGTATTCCACTCCTACAGCAAGTATGCAGAAACAGGGATGGCAGCAGTTCACCAGGATCTCTTTGATTCTGCAGTCCACTGTTTAATGTTGCCTTGAGCTTTTTATGAGAGGAGGGATATAAATTATTTAAATAAATAAAATGCTGATTAAACAAGATACAGTGGTGCCTCGCAAGACGAAATTAATTCGTTCCGCGAGTTTTGTCGTCTTGCGATTTTTTTCGTCTTGCGAAGCACGGTGTCGGGAAAGTTTTGGAAAAGCTTCAAAAATCACCAAAGTCTTTAAAAACCTCAAAGAAGGCTACCACACCGCGTTCTATGAGTTGCTCCTCGAAGTCAAGTCGCAACTGTATTAACGGTGTTAAGAAAAAAGAAACAAACTTGCAAGACGTTTCAGTCTTGTGAAGCAAGCCCATAGGGAAAATCGTCTTGCGAAGCAGCTCAAAAAACAAAAAACCCTTTCGTCTAGCGAGTTTTTTGTCTTGCGAGGCATTCGTCTTGCGAGGTACCACTGTAGTTATTATCTTTAGTTTGCGGATTGGTGTGAAATAAGTACTATGTTTGGACCTTGTCCTTGGGGCCATTTCATTTAAGGAACTTGCACCTGTTGTCCCAGAGCTTCTCTAAAGGTCCCAGGTTAATTTAGCACCACAAAGATCCAAGCAAGGACAATTAACACATTTCCAAAAGTACATGTACACAGAGTATCCCATTTAATAACAAGCTGGCAGCCCAGTCCTCAAAATAGGACTGTAGTGCCACAGTCATATATGTTTCATTGGCTACCATGGCACAAGCACAGCCAGGAACCATCAAATCTGCATGTATGTTGCATGTGCTTTACTGTCCATTCTCTTTTGTATTGTAAATAGGAATGAGCCTTTCCATCTGCTGTGCCAGGCTTTAGTTATTTGAACATCACACTTTCTTGCACGTGACTTTTTTGGATTGGGGCCACTAAAAATGAAATTGTCATTTTAATATATTCTATGCAGGGATGTTATATAAGGATTTATGTTGGACTGAATCAAATTTACAGTCTAATCCGCTCAATGAATCTCCAATCTAGCTCTTCAGGGCTTCTGGTAGATTTATTTCCCAGTATGGCTCTCACAGCTGGGACCTCATATAGCCATAGCAAGTGCCTCAGCAGAGAGGGCTTCTCCACTTGTTAATTATTCATTTTTATACCATTATGTGGACAACAAATATCAGAATGCAGTTTATATAAGTGCTTTGCTTCACAAGAACTAGAAAACTAGAAATGGTGGGTGAGGGGAAGATCCAACAGTTTTTTGTTTGTTTGTTTAAAAACTTCTATTTCTATAACAGACACAGTAAATGTAGGAGCAGATTGTCACACTGCTGTGTTGGAGAACGTAAGTTCAAAGCAAAATAAAACAAGAATTATCCTAAAGTATTCCTCTAGAGATTTCCATGTATGGATGGGGAATGAATCTAATCATCACTTTTGTTTACTTATAAAGTCAAATAAAATCCTACAATGTTGCAAAAAAGGTGTTTGGCTCTGTTTGAGTTTTTGTTGCCCATATTTGTTCAGTTTTCCCGATAAGGCTATATTCCAGATTTGTTGATGCCACCATTCAGTAGATATGGCAGCCCTGCTTTTTCAGTTTCTTGCTAACCGAAGACATGCTTAAAATATTGTTCTTTGTATGATCTATTTCCATCAAAAATAGACAGCAGATCTAAATGCGCATCTTGCTATAGTTTGTCCAATTAATGTCTCACATTCCTTTAAAACTTTCACCAGGACCATACTATCACGTCACATTCCCACTACATATGAAAAATTTTGTCCATCTCTTCACATCCACTCCTCTATTAAACATAACTAAGTTCTTTCTTAGACTCATAGTAGGTCGGGATCCACAAGTGGGTAACTCTCTGACCTTGGCTAGCATCACCACCACTTTCTTTTTGTTGTACAGCTTAAAACAACAACATGGAAGTGTAGCATTGCAAAGTAGCATATGTATTTCAGATTTGTGGCAAATTGGATATTGGAAGGTTCGTCTTTTCTCCCTCTGTATGGGAAGCTGCCCTTACACAATGTAAAAGGTGAAGGCACTCTGTTGTCCTTCTTTGCATCTGGATATCATAGAATCATTGAGTTAGAAGGGACCCTGAGAATCATCTCCAAATGCAGGAATATGCAGTTGTCCCTTACATCAGACATAAAAGGAGAAAAATGGACATAAGCAGAAAATAAACTGGGTCCTATGTCACACGGTTGGGATTAATTAAGGTTGAAGACTACTGCTGAAAATCACACATGGACTGGGTAATTATTGTAGCTAGAGGAGACCGTTCTGAAGAACACTTTTAAAATATTGTTTTTCCTTAAAGCTCTGTTGTAGTTGCTGCTGACTGTGGCAGGAAAGGTAGCTAAATAAAGGTCTTTACAATATCTGTTGTGTGACATGCAGACATCTGCATACTTTAAAAAGCACACAACCTTGAAATGGTTCAGCGGTGGCCTGCAGAGAGCGAAACAATTCCTAACAAGGCTGCCAGTCTCCACCTTATTTTTACATTTTGGCCTTTAAAGGTTTATACTGAAGTACACTTTGCTCCCCAAGAGATTCCAACTGAATATCATTTATGTAAATGCTGTAAACAAAATGGAAATGTCTTGGATACTTTTTTTGTACTGGGGAGAAGTGTTAGTATAAAGTTTGACAGTGGTTGTCCTTTCAGGCATGCCAAGCTTGGATTATTTTCATACCACAACACAAGTGTAGCTGGAAGCACACACTTGCAGTGCCGTCCTATGCAAGTTTATTCACAGTACAGTATTCAATCAAATCCATGGGGTTTGTTCTCAGGAAAGACCTGAACTGGAGCACGGTTTTGACACCCTATTTTAAAAGTGTAACTATGTATATGCATAACACTGAAAACTGAACTCCAATTTCCTGTTTTTCAACTGTCTCTGTCGTGAGTTTGTATGAAATGGGCATTGTTTAAAATATTCTTATTTATGAGTAAGCTTTCAAATGTACAGTACAGTGGTGCCTCGCAAGACGAAATTAATTCATTCCGCGATTTTTTTCGTCTTGCGAAGCACGGTGTCGGGAAAGTTTTGGAAAAGCTTCAAAAATCACCAAAGTCTTTAAAAACCTCAAAAAAGGCTATCACACCGCGTTCTATGAGTTGCTCCTTGAAGTCAAGTCGCAACTGTATTAACGGTGTTAAGAAAAAGGAAACAAACTTGCAAGACGTTTCCGTCTTGCGAAGCAAGCTCATAGGGAAAATCGACTTGCGAAGCAGCTCAAAAAACAAAAAACCCTTTCGTCTAGCGAGTTTTTTTGTCTTGCGAGGCATTCGTCTTGCGAGGTACCACTGTACTTCTTTGAGAACTTTGGAATTGTGGAAAAATCAGAAGCAGTGTACAGTAGTTGGAGAAATCCAGGTAGAAGCTTATCAATGTTACATTATATGCCACCAAGAGGCCAGGCATATTCCTCTTTGGAAATCTTATCACTCACTTTTCATACTGTGTATAACTGGCCTGCTTTTAAAGGACAGTCAAGGCTTGAAGCTGTTCCTGATCTAACCAGAGTCTTCCATGGACAGGCATCCATACAACATCTGTATGTTTCCCTCCATAGGGCAAGTAGCAATTGTGGGAGAATTTCCTAGCATTATAATCTCAACCAAATTCAGGAGCCTCTATGACTCTTGATCAGGGGTAGGCAAACTAAGGCTCGGGGGCCGAATGCAGCCCAATCACCTTCTAAATCCAGCCCGCAGACAGTCCGGGAATCAGCATGTTTTTACATGAGTAGAATGTGTCCTTTTATTTAAAATGCATCTCTGGGTTATTTGCGGGGCCTGCCTGGTGTTTTTACATGAGTAGAATGTGTGCTTTTATTTAAAATGCATCTCTGGGTTATTTGTGGGGCATAGGAATTTGTTCATATATTTTTTCAAAATATAGTCTGGCCCACCACATGGTTTGAGGGAGGGTGGACCGGCCCACGACTGAGAAAGGTTGCTGACCCCTGCTCCTGATGAACACACACACACAACCCTAATTACATCTAGTTGTGCCACCTAGTTCATTATATTATATATATATATATATATATATATATATATATGCAGGTTTTGGTGTCCTCGGGTGTCTTCCCGTGTAAAAGTTGGGGTGTCTAGGCGACGTTTCGACGAGGTCTCACTCGTCATCTTCAGGCTGGTGCTTTCGGCTTCTTGTTACTGGAACAGAGCAGGATCTCAGTGTTTGAGTTCCTATAAATACTGTTGAGGGGGTGTGGTGTATAGCCTCCAATGTTCTGGGCAGAGAGGAAGTTCCCAGGTTAGTGTGCCTTTTCTTCTTTTGTTCCTTAATTACTTGAGGGATATCTTGAGTGATTTCTTGAGTGATATCCTGAGTACCACTTAGGTGGGTCATTAGGTGTGGATTAGTTGCTAAAGCCTTCGTGTCTTGACCTCTTGAACTTTGTGAAGAGTTTTTCTGAGAAGATGGCTGTACTGCAATTAGTTGTGCTCTGGCTTGGCTTCGTGTATAGGGGCGAGCTGTGGTTTTGTGTCCTGTGCCAGCCAGATCTGTGTAGGGATTGCAGGGGGGTGCAGCATCCGGAGGTGCCACCATGGTTTGGCTACTGGATGGTGTCTGTAATTTATCTGTGGAGAGGGTCTGGGTTTGGGTCTGGTGTGGTTGATTGGTGATGGCGTTCTGTGTGCCTCTGGATCTGGTGTCGGTTTTTGTGGGGAGGGCTAATTTCCAGATGTCTGGCAGGCGGGATGTGTCGTCACGCTTGTTCATGTTGTGAGGGTGTTTCTCTATCTCGATGGCTTCCATGATTATTCTCTTGTGGTGATGTTCCATGTTAGAGAGCAATTTGGAATCTGCAAAATTAATTTCGTGTCCTGTTTCTTTCATGTGTTGGAAAAGAGAGGAAGTTTTTTCTTCTTTTTTGACGGCATTCTTGTGTTCTGCGATACGTGCATTTATTCGTCTGTTTGTTTGTCCAATGTACGTGGCTGGGCAGACTTTGCAGGGTATTTCATAGACCCCTTGGTTTTCCAACTGGATTTTATCCTTGGGGTTTCTGAGAATATTGGCTATTTTTTGGTTGGTGCAAAAGGCTGTTTTGATATTGTGTTTATGGAGGATTTTGCTAATTTTATCTGTAGTGCCCTTGATATAAGGAAGGAGGGCCATGCCATTGTTTTCTTCTGTGTCTTGGTTTTTTAACCCCCAAAAACCAAGACACAGAAGAAAACAATGGCATGGCCCTCCTTCCTTATATCAAGGGCACTACAGATAAAATTAGCAAATCCCCAAAAACCAAGACACAGAAGAAAACAATGGCATGGCCCTCCTTCCTTATATCAAGGGCACTACAGATAAAATTAGCAAAATCCTCCATAAACACAATATCAAAACAGCCTTTTGCACCAACCAAAAAATAGCCAATATCCTCAGAAACCCCAAGGATAAAATCCAGTTGGAAAACCAAGGGGTCTATGAAATACCCTGCAAAGTCTGCCCAGCCACGTACATTGGACAAACAAACAGACGAATAAATGCACGTATCGCAGAACACAAGAATGCCGTCAAAAAAGAAGAAAAAACTTCCTCTCTTTTCCAACACATGAAAGAAACAGGACACGAAATTAATTTTGCAGATTCCAAATTGCTCTCTAACATGGAACATCACCACAAGAGAATAATCATGGAAGCCATCGAGATAGAGAAACACCCTCACAACATGAACAAGCGTGACGACACATCCCGCCTGCCAGACATCTGGAAATTAGCCCTCCCCACAAAAACCGACACCAGATCCAGAGGCACACAGAACGCCATCACCAATCAACCACACCAGACCCAAACCCAGACCCTCTCCACAGATAAATTACAGACACCATCCAGTAGCCAAACCATGGTGGCACCTCCGGATGCTGCACCCCCCTGCAATCCCTACACAGATCTGGCTGGCACAGGACACAAAACCACAGCTCGCCCCTATACACGAAGCCAAGCCAGAGCACAACTAATTGCAGTACAGCCATCTTCTCAGAAAAACTCTTCACAAAGTTCAAGAGGTCAAGACACGAAGGCTTTAGCAACTAATCCACACCTAATGACCCACCTAAGTGGTACTCAGGATATCACTCAAGAAATCACTCAAGATATCCCTCAAGTAATTAAGGAACAAAAGAAGAAAAGGCACACTAACCTGGGAACTTCCTCTCTGCCCAGAACATTGGAGGCTATACACCACACCCCCTCAACAGTATTTATAGGAACTCAAACACTGAGATCCTGCTCTGTTCCAGTAACAAGAAGCCGAAAGCACCAGCCTGAAGATGACGAGTGAGACCTCGTCGAAACGTCGCCTAGACACCCCAACTTTTACACGGGAAGACACCCGAGGACACCAAAACCTGCATTCCTGTACCCGTGAAAATCTACGAAAGCATATATATATATATATATATATATATATAACTATGGTGTTCTACCTCTGCAAATTGGATGTTGGACAATAGATATGCAACAGCGCCATCTGCTCTTCAGTGTAGAGTACTGTTCAAAACACAGAAAGTGACTTTAAAACTGGTCAGTGTAAACAACATTGACAGTTCACTGTTCTTAACGCTCAGTTAAGCACTGCTGCATCAACAAAAAAAAATTAACAAGATAATCTAGGCATTGGGCTTCTATCCAAATGTAAAACTACAGTATTACATGTTACTGTACAAAAATGTATAAGAAAAAAGGAACTGGGTACTTTATTTCTAGCTCAAAGAATAAATTTCAAGCAATTGTTCTGGGGTTTTGAGCCATTCTACTTTATTGATATACAATTTGTCTTGAGATGGAAGGGAGAACACACACACACACAAACACACACAGGATGTCAACCCTATTGTGTAAACCCTATTTTAAAAGTCTTGGTAAAAGGTATTTAACAAGAGCTGTGAAGTAAAAACTTCACCATCCTGACACTCTTGAATTGCATAGTAACTTCAGGGAAAAGCAAAGGAAAGTGTTACAAGGTGGATTTTAAAATAGTAGATGAGATAATGGAAAACTCCATATGGTATTTCAGAAAAAATATGTGGCATTAGCCCTGTTCTTTCCTAGTGACCTAGCATATTAGGATTCAACTCTGAAACTACATGTTGTGGTAATGTATTTTTAATCATCTGCATCTGTAGAACTGAAGGCAAATCTTATTTCACTTATTTTATCTATTTCTCCTTTTCAGAACAATACAGTAATTACTACAAAATAGTTTATTACAAATTTTAGAAAATCATTGGAACTTTTCTCAAGTTTTCTCCATTCCAAACCTGAAATTTACCTATCTTAGGCACAAATAGGTTCAATTCTAGTAAAATCAGTGAACATCATTTACACAATTAGTTGAATATTAAATGAGCTAGAAATCAAAGTAATTACAGTGGTACCTTGGTTTTTGAACAGCTTAGTTCATGAACAACTTGGAACCCAAACGCTGAAAAACCGAAAGTAGGTTTTCAAAATTTTTTCTGTTTTGCATTACATGCTTTCTATGGAAAAGTGCACTTTGGTTTTGGAATGCTTTGGTTTTGAAACAGACTTCCAGAATGGATTAAGTTTGAGAACCAAGATACCACTGTATTAGTTTCATTATTTAAAATGATTAAATTTATTGCAGATGTTGATTGTTACGAGGACCCAGATAAATATGAAAACAGTTCAGGTGGTAGAGCATGAAACTCTTAAAACTCAGGGTCGTGGGTTTCAGCCCCATGTTAGGTAAAAGATTCCTTCATTGCAGGGGTTGGACTAGATGACCCTTTTATGGTCCTTTTCAACTCTACAATTCTCAATGAGAAGGTTTAAGCTGCCCCAGTTCTCCTGGTTCTTAAGAATAAACAGAGAGACCGGGAAGATGATGGCATGCTTAGCATGAAGTTGCATTATGGCTTCACTCCAGCTACTAAACCAAACAGAAATAACTCGTCATCCACTTGGTACTTGCAAGATCAAATTTCCTGCTACTCAACCTTACATGTAGTTTATGTGAGTGTATATAAAGCACAATAAATCCAGTGTAACTGTCCTGTGGGCAGCTAATTGAGAATGGATGGTGAGGCAGTCCTGTGGAGCTATGATGATATAAAAACAATAAGGAAAATCTTAATTTCACATTTCAGCAACCTAGCTACTAGGTACTCTATTCTGAAGAACAGATGAGAATGAAAGGGAATTCAGGGTGCAACTGACAACCTTCTGGCTTAAAATATTATATTTCATGGTATACATTTATCATATGTTTAACACATGAATCCCAGACTTGTCTTGAAAGACTTGTCAAATTTTAAGGAAATTGTTGTTCGAGTTCCTTATTCAGTCAGAGGTGCAGATCTTCCTTGCTTACGCAAGAACTGGCAGAAATGTATCAGCAAAAATATTTTTAGTTTTTCAGAGGATTTTCCTCTTAAATTTCCCTTTAATTGTTGGTCAATTTCCATCCCCACCCCGAATATATATATTGAAAGTCCAGCCGTGAAAAACAAGGACCTTAAAACAGGTGAGGAAAAGAAGGCAAAATCTCCCTCAGTGGCAACACACCTGAGGCTTGCATACACACCATACATCTGTCATTTGCGGAGTTTGAAATTTTAAAGCATATGGGAGGGACATTTCCCTCCCCATCCGAAAAATCTGGGCTACAATTCCCAGCAACCATAAGCTAACTAGCGAAGGGGCAGCAGGGATGTGATTTCATGGTGTACCGTTTATCCATAGCCAAGTCTTCCCCTCAAGAGAAACTGGAGGCCGCGCTTGCTGAGGGAAAAGAGCGGTTATGGGCGTGGCCCCGCACGCACGCGCTCTCACTCTCTCAAAAAAGGCGGGAAGAGCTCAGGGACAATGCCAGCAGGACAAGCTATGGGACCTATGGAGAAGAAGAAGGCAAGGCCACGCATGCGCCCGTCTCTCGCCCGTGCCCGATTCAAGAGCGCCGCCCGATTTATTCATTAAGACACGGAGCGGAAGAGCCGCGCGAGTAAGCTCTCGGCCCGCCCCTTCCAGCTTTCTGGGCCCGCCCCTTCCAGCTTCCAATCAGCGTTCTCCCCCCACCCACTCTTCTTTCCCCCCCCGCTCCTCCCGTTCGTTAACCGGATGTTGATGTTAGTTGGTGTCTCCCCCCCCATCTGTCCCCGCCCCTTCTCTCCCCGTGTTGTGCTGAGTGAGGGCGCTTCCTATTTTGGGCCCCCCTCAGCTTAGAAACGCAGGTGAGTTGCGACGCCCCCTCGCTGCCCTCCCTTTCCCAAGCGGCATATCCAGCGAAGTGAGGAGTGGAGAAGAGACGGCTTTTGCTTCTCCCTTCTCTGCCTCCCGCTGTCGGGACAAAGGCGTTGTTGCCATGGAGACGTGTGAGGGGGAATTTATGCGCTTTCTTCCCACCTAGCCACCCACCCCCGTCCCCCAACAACGGTCTCTCTTTGACGGTGATTAAACCGCATTTAGGACATAAACTCCCTTTCCTTCCTTCCAGGCTCCCCTTCATTCTCATTAGTGTGTTTTCTCCCTCAGTCCCCCCGCCCCTCGAAAAAATATTATTATTATTATTTATTCGCTTCTTATCGGGAAATGTCGAGGCGGCTTGTAGCAAATAAAAATGGGAACCCTAATATTTCCAGAGGGGCTGGCGTGTTATTCTGTTGCATTAAAAAATGGGAAGAAGTCTTGTGACATCTTATTGTGGCATAAGCGTTTGTGGGCAGAAGTCCACTTCAGTAGATGTGTTAAATGTTAAATCCTTGGTTGGCAGCTGCATGTGTGGGGCGGAAGAACTATAAATTTCAGAGAGAAATTATATGCAAGCGGTGCAGGTAGAGAGACAATTGGGCCAAAGCTAGAATTTATGCAGAATAAGCATGACGACTTTTACAACATTATTGATTGGCAAAAATAATCACCTTAGCAATGCTAAGTTAATATTTATAGTGGGAAGGAGGAAAGGAAACTATTGACTCTGCAGACAAAAATGAATAGAGTTGAACTTCCTGAATAATTGTAGTTCTCCAGATTCACACTGGAGCTGCCTTCTGAAACTTCTTTGTTCAAATACACCTTCAGACCTAGTGGTAGAGTATCCTAGTAGGGTGAAATGTACTCCTTCTGGTTGAATTATGTCCAGTGTTATTTCCTGGTTTATGAATATCTTATGATAGTCCTTCAGGTGGGATTTCCACATGTCATGGAACAAATGAAGCTGCTTTATACTGTTGTCTGAAAGTTTGTCCTTCTGCTTCGGGATCCCTGTATACAGCAGGGATAGCCACCATTGTGCCAAGTCCTACAGACATTTTGTACTTTGAACTGTCTTCAGCCAGCATCTCCAGTAGTCAGAGATGATGGAAGCTGTAGTTTACAACATCTGGAGGGCAGCAGTTAGCTATTCCACTTTACTCTTGACTGACATCACCTGAAGATGCAGAGAATTGAATCCTATACACATATACACAAAGCATGCCTTTTATTAGTGAACAAGCAGGTGCATCTCCTGGGCTGCATATAGGTTGGAACAGAAGCTGTGACCAGTGTTAGTGTCATGCCACATATGCAAAGTGTGACATATATATGCATTCATCTTGTGGCTTTCATGTAGACGTTTTTCCTCTGCCTGGAGTGGGGCCTAGCCTAGTCTAGTAATGGGGTTCGCTCAACTATAGAGGTTAGGCATGATTCAGAGGCTGCCTACCATGCCAGCTTCCCTTTTTTGAGTTGTTTTAGGCTTGCATTGATATCTGCAAAACATGAAAATATGCCCCAGAATTTATCAAGAAGAAACATTGCTTAGAGTGGCAGAAAGGCTTCTAGCCATTCTTACCACCATTTCTTCTTCCTTGTTATGCAATGATGTTCCTTGGTACCCTTCAGACCCTTTCCCTCTTGTTATTGCTTCTGATTTAGGAGAGTCTTGTAGTTAGGGCTGCCATCTGTAGAAGTTCTCCCTATCTGTCTTAGGAAAAGTAGTCCATGCTGGTTTTTTGACTGATTTAAATCCTAGTACTCCTGAAATGCACAAGTTCGTTCAAATAAATATATTTTGGGAGTTTGAAGCCTTAATATAAAATCTCCTGTGCCATAACTCTACTTGTATTAGCTTTTATGCTTGTGTGGTATACTATAGTCTGGAGACAGCTTTTATCTGTCTTGAAAGAACTGAAGGAAATTACTGTTCATGATGCGTATGCTTACCCGACTTTCTCTGCTAATAAACAGGCTTTTGTATTGTATTGGAAAATCTGCACAACTTATTTGCCCAGAGGCAACAGTGAAACAAATTAAGTGTGCCTGTTTAGGTACACATAATGGGAATGCATCCCCTAAATCATCTTCAGGAATCTTCAAAAAGTCTTGTCTGTTTCCAGCCATTCATTACTTTCCTAGGCAAAATAATTTATGTTGATGTCAAATACTAATAGTTCATTGATTGAAAAGTGCTTCTTGCTAACTAGTCGGATATCTGTTTTCCCTGAAGGTAGATAGATATACATGGCTTTAGATTTGAGATCTTAGTGCCGTATTGTATGGTTCCCCCCCCCCCAATTCCTTCAATTTCATATTTATTTGGTTTCTACTTTTGTTACCTGTCTTTTGAATACAGGGGGATGTAGGAATGTTTAAAATAAACAAGCATGTTTCAGAAAAATTGTGCTATGGGAAAACCAAGTAAGAGCCCTATTAAAACACTACTTGTCTTTTGCTTTCCCTTTTAGAAATGAACTTCTGTGATGAGTAGAGTTCTAACATGGTGGCTGGGACAAAACCTGTCATGGCATCAGAACTCTGTAAAACAATATTGGAGGCAAAGCTAGAAAGGCACAAGAACTTATTCTTAAATTACCGAAATCTCCATCACTTCCCTTTAGAATTGCTGAAGGATGAAGGACTGCAATACTTGGAGAGACTCTATATGAAAAGAAATTCATTGACTACCTTGGTATGACTTTTTTAAATGTACAACTAGCAAAATATTTGTTGATGCTTAGGGTCTATGTGGAGGACATTGTCCTTGAGTGTACCTTAATTTTTTCAATATACTGTACTGTAAATGAAAGCCATTCATTGATATGGGTGACAGTATTTGCACTTGTCCAATAACACGTTAGGGACCTGAAGTTGGAATAAGGAAATGTTTTCTGTATTGCCCTTGCAATGCTCTCACTGAAGTGGTCGGAGGCCTATGTATGGACCAGACCACTTCAGACCAGGTAGAAGCTGACATGCTTGAATGTCCCCTGGGTGGGAGATCCTACACTCAGAGAATGTTGCCATTTTTACCGGGTGCTCTTAATCATTTTGGGCAGTGCTGGGGCACAATCCTACACTGTATGTGTTTTTCACTGCAGATATAACTAAATTCTTCTAGGACTTCTCACTTGCACAGTAGTAACCAAGTCATCAAATTTCAGCTACTTAATTCCTACAGTTTTCATCTTGTATGCATGAAAAGCATATGGGGTATAAAATACCCCCCGACATTTCATTTTATTCCTGTGTTTCTGGTGCTTCTTCATACCAGTCAATATAATGTGTTGGAAAACATTATATTTAAAAGAGGAAAAACTTTGGGAAGCATGCCAAATTTTCTTTCTGAAAAGTTAAAAAGAAGAGCCTGGAATAAAAAAAATGTATATTTCTGCCAGTATATTTTATTTCTTTTTGCTATGGGGTGCTTTCCTTCTCCCCAGCTCATGGGGAGTTATTTTTTGTTAATTATTTCAACAGCCTTGTAAATTACGGGTTGAATCCAATGAACTGAACTTCTACTCCCTCCACTTCATCATATGTCCCTAATCAGATTGTGAATTTCCCAAACCCTCCAGAGTAGATTGGGTGAAGTTGCAGGATTAGGAAAGGAAGGGGAAGTTCTGTTGCAGGAGCAGAAATTGTACTACGAATGTAATGTTTTTGTTGGTTTCAACACTGTTATGCTTGTATGGCAGATTGTTATCTACATAAGGTTAACTACTATGTTCATGGAAGAGGTGAGATATTAACCAGGGACATCCTGAAGCATTGTAGGAATAAATAGGCAAGATTCTTAGGTTTCTTAGAATAGCTAGTGAATATTGTTTATTAGGCTGGTGAACACATTAAAGAGTTCATTAGAATTTATTCAGACTTGGTTGCCTATACAATTTATACAAGTGCTGGTAAAGTAACTGAGCTAGTTTTTGTTTTATCTTCTACACTTACATGATTGTATTCATCTATTTATGAATGTATGTTTTAAAAATGGAACCTAATAACAAGGACACCAGGTGCTGCTAAGGCTACCAAAATTGCTTAGGAGGGAAATCAGTGTGTTTTAGCGTTAATTCCCCAGTAGGTGGAAACCACAACTCAAGATTTTTGCAGCATGGCATGGAAAACAAGCAGAAGAATTATGAGACTGCTTCTGGCTAAGAACTATACTGCATATGCTGTGTTTGAAAACAGCAGGGAAATGCTGGCCAAAGGAAGGATGGCAATCTGAGTGTTGAAATGGGCAGTCCTACCCTAGTTGAACATAAAAGCTAAATTTGGTATAATGTAGCACCACTTCAAGTCTGACCTTTTTCTTGCTTGAAAACCACTATGTAGGAAAAAGCCGCAAACTGTCATGTATAAATTGGGGCATGAGAGGCACACAGATTGAACGTGCTGCCTTCCCGGTGAAAGTGAGCTTTCAAGGCTTTCAAAATATTATCCTGGAATCAAGCTCCAGCACCACAGTAAAGAAAATATCTGGCTGCCAGTAATACACTGGCAATCTGTTTGTGAAATAGGACCCCTGCAGAGTTGTGTAAGACAAAACTAACATCATGCACTTCATGTGGAAATTGCATGACATGGCTGCTGTAACATGATCTCTTATAAAATGTTGCTTTAGAAGATCTCCATATTTAGAAGACTTCTGGCTGTCTGGAGAATGCATTATAGTAATTGAAAAATATTGGCATACTGACTTAACATTAGAGTAGCTAATAGGACTCTGCCTTAGGC